AACAGGACATGCCTAGAGCAATTAAACTGAACATTAAATCCGCCATAGCGCTAGGAATGTGCTGCAAATCATATTCGTCATGATATATGCATCGATTATTTTCCCTGGTGTTCATTTAGGCTTTACAAGAAGTGATTCATAACTTGCATCTAATAACATCAAGCCGAAGAATGATGAATAACTGCCCAACATTAAACCTTCAACCTATACCTGACCGACATTGAAGTAATGGCAGAGCGCTGTGATCCGCAGTGAACTTTGTACTCACCTTTATACGGTGACAACACCGTCTTGCGTACCCAGGGCAGTCGACCGCACACTTTTTGGTTCGACAACACCTTATTTGATGCTGGACCATTTTTGGTAGAATACTTCCTGGGGACGTGATGTTGAGTATTTTTCTTTGATGTATCGGCAGTTTGTGGATTGATTTATGACTAGTCATGCGTAGGCATATTCACGCTAAGATCATTGGGCTTTTCAGAATACCTGATTTTTAGTTCCCCTCTCCGCATCTGCCTAACTTGTCCAATTAAAGGGGTAAATTTGAGCTCATTTGACTCAACATGCAGTCTTATCGCATATAATTTTTTTTAGGCATGCCGGCTTAAAAGGTCATATGGCATGTTTTGTCAGTGACATGTTTTCATTCGAAGCATAATGAGATAACATTGATCTTTTCAGTATCTTCAGTCCAGGCGCAATGAGTGTCTAAATGTTGACTTCACGCGAGTTTTCTGTAATCTAAAACCTCTTGACTTCCAAAGTAGAAGAAAGGGAAATAGAGGGGAAAGGGAGCAAAAAAGGGGAAAAGAAAAGGAAAGAACCGTCGAGCTGACAGGAAGCTATGCCATGATAACTTGAAATGAAGTTTTTGACCATTTTATAACATCGTAACTTTCCTTTTCAAAATATACACTTCTTGACACCATGATCTTGGATGGTGTAAGTTACACTAACACTAAGCGTGACAATAGAAAGTGCAGTTTTTAAGCCGAGAATAGGCTGCTTGCAATTCATTTGAGGTTGTGGGGAAAAGGCCTTATGTGGCCTTTTCTAAAAAAATCGTTATAAAGCCGCATTGTTAGCTGCTTTTTGTTTTCTTTGGCTTGCTTACATCTATTCATCCAGACACTGGGAGACCGTTACTGCAGAACGATTCTTAAATGCTTCCATCTGCCAGGTTTGGATAGAGTTTCATACACAGGCTGTCTGATGCTCTGGACGTGACTTCTCAGTTGTTACTCGTTCAAAGTAAGGGTGGCCCGATCATCACAATAAGCGCCTTAAAGGGTCACATTTTGATAGCTGTCCTTGTGGTCCCGTGCCTCTTACGAAAACAATATAATGTCGTTACTGTAGGTCGGATATTGTTTTCGAGCATACCCAAATTCAATGTCAAGGGCAAGAATAGACTATGCTTGCGTGATAGGTATGATGCATAGTTGAATTTGGTATATAGCTCTAAAGAAGTTGCTAGACGGGATGCATGAAAAACCTTCCCTGTATTCGTCGTCATTGAGGATTTACGACGCTATCAGCTGCTGAGGTTGTATGGCGTCGCCTGCCTATCACCCTGGGAGGACGGGCAGGCACCGCGGGGAATCCAGCCTCGCACCCCTGGTTTCTTAGACGCGTTAAGTTAAGTTGAATGACTAAATGCTAAGTTAAGTTAAGTCAAATAACTGGGTAAGTGGTTAGACTGGTTAACGCGGACGTGTTAAGCACTACACTATTGGCGCCCTCAGACGGTATCGTCACAACATGGGCGTGAAACATCATTAGATGAGGCATTGTTCAGCCCAAAGGGGGGCGATGAAATCAATTCTGCATCTCAGGTCTATATTTTTTAACATAAACTTTGGCCTTGCGCTACATGCAATGATGTGATCTGCGAGAGAAGTAAAAATGCATTTTCCAGGCTAACTCCTACTGTCATCATTCTGAGCGATTTAATGGTGGGTGGGGTGTTAAACAAACGTCAACTCTCAGGAAAAGGACGTTTTTCATGCTTATAACAATCTCGCCAAGTGTTTTCACGACCTTTCTGTCAGCAAAATTCAATGGCAAAAGAATATTCTCTAAGCAATCTAACGCATTCTAAGTTTATGCTTTAATCCCCACGCGTCTGATCAGATTGCTTACGTTGAAGGACGTCGTGCGAGATCATAACGTCAAATGCAAACCAAAATAGAAAATGCGAAGGCGATTGAAGATTTCTCCGCAATACAATCTTGATATTGTTTATGTTGTCATATTTTGATTATGTTTGAGCAGGTAAAGCACATCAAATAAAATTACCCAACTTTGGACTCTGAAGCTTCCCAACGACATAACTTGATGGCCGTGTCAAATCTGAGAAACGGGGCAGCGGACCACTTTACTATTTCAAGGACAGATTTCAGTTATAAAAGGTTCATAAAAATCCTTTTCCAAAACCGACGTTACAGACACTCTTTTCCCTCACCAAACGTTGCCTAATGGAAGTCGCCCTTGTGTCAAAAAACCTTCATTTTTGCTACTCTCCACGAATGAACTCAAAATAAACCGGAGTATACGTTGGCCGAAAGCCTCTCTAAATATTTCTAAAAAATCTTTTCAGGCCTAAGCATGAATATCCAAGGTGGGTTTTGCATACTATTTCTTTCAAAAATAAATTAACTGCTGTCTATTTCAGAACTTGAAAAGAAATGTACAGAAGATGGTGTTTAACTTTTACGTAAATGTGGCAAGCATTTAACTCGAGTGCTGTCATATCAAGTCGCGATGTCAGGAAAAAGTCTGAAAATGAATGCTAAGCTACCTGGAAATAAATGTCGAGTATCAAAACATTTTTAAGGGGAGTGTTCATTTGTGTGAAGCTTTGAACTGAGATAGCCTCTTGAAAATCATTTGGTGCAATTCACAGCGCAGCCCTTCTTAAGACCTAAGCCCTCTAGTTTTTGAGCTATACGCCCGCGAAACTGCGCAGACTTTTTCGGGGAGAATATTTCAAGGTAACCCCGGCATTCATGACGCCGTAATAACGTCATTCAAACCCTGCCATTCCATTAGCTATGCCACGATCAAGACCAATAAAAGTTAATTGTCGAGTCGGTCATATCTGGCGTTCGTGAGCACGATTTCCAGGCATAACGGCCGTCAATTGACCCTCAATCAATGTTGTGCAAGGTACGATGACGTAATCAAACAATGACGTATTGAGAAACATGTTTCCTAACCAGAGAAACTGCGTTACCTGGAGCGGTCTTTTCCACTTAAAAGTGTACCAATAGTTGTAAGCGAGCTTATTTCATCCTATCTGAAGCTTCCTTCAATATCTTCAAATGTGGAACATTCCTATTAATGAGAACGGAATCGCATAGTTAGCATGTCATTCACACTTTTCACAATCATACCAACGCGTACGCATACTTTTCAGTTTTCATCGAAACGGGGCCGTAACTTAGCAAGGAGCATACATAGTGCGCAGCTCTGCATTGGAACATGCCTTTAAGACCGCTGGGAATGCCGGATTGTTGAGCGGTTCGGTTGGTAGCAGTCGGTCGGGAGCATCCACCTTAACTATGTCCGCGACCAGTTGTCATAAGTTAAGTTTCCAGTCATGCCGGAAATCGGAGCTCATTCTCAATCTTAGAAGCTTAGCCATTCAAAGCTTAGAAGCCGGCATTATTTATTGGTAAGATCGGATTTCAACAGTGTTTCTCCTGACATGTACCATATCATTTCCATAACACACATTGTAAGCAGACTGCAGCTTTGTCCGATTCGTGCGTGAGTTAGGATTTGTGCCACCAATTTAGCCACGCTACGCGACCTGACCAAAGTAATCAAGGCTATATTTGGTCCAATATTGGTTTGGTTATGCTGAAGATCACACATTCAGACTCAACGCACCCGATAACCTCATAAACACCGTGTTACGAATGGCAAGAGTACTCGGACACCTCCACCATGTCCGTGTGTTTACGGCTGCTGGTGACCTTTCGAAGCTCTGGACGTCCCCGCCCCGGCGGGTCTGACCGACAGTCAGGAGCGGTCGCATTTTGATGCAAATCGGTGCCAGAGGCTGGCTGCGTAGCGGTGACGGACTTGTGCGAGAATGATCTCGGCGGAGATTGGCGAGAGTGCCCGTCTGTTACCGTGTAAGAGCATCAGTTTTACCAGAATGCGGCGACGCACTGACTACGAAACTTGCATTCCTTTTACACTTGTCTGGCACCGTCCTTGACACTGTGATTGTAATTTACACTGACAGTTGTCTCTGACGTCAGTAAAATTCGCTCAGACCCAAAACGCAAGTTTGTACCATCATCAATAAAATGTGGGATAACTAGCGTTAGTCTTCGATTTCCCTGGTCGATGTCAGGCAAACTTATGCCCATTACATTTTGTAGATACACAACACCCGTCGCGTTTTAAGAAACGGAAATCAACCAAAAATTGGGTTGAACATGAGAACTGGCCGCATCTGAGGATAGGGCTGTCCAAACTGTGCTCCTCCCCTCGCGTTGGAGCTGTCTTTATTCGCTGCCGTTCCCATGTTTTCTTCTAGGTTGTAAAAACCCAGCTATGTTTGGCATCTGAGGACGGCAACCAAGCTGTCCATGCGGGGGCCGTCTTCACTAGCAGACGGCATCATGCGTCACTACAGAGGCCGGCCTGGAGCTGCACCCCCGCGCAGTGTCGCCCAGCTGACAGGGGCGGGAGTGGCTCGACAGTCGGCCGGACCACCCCGGCCCGAGGCCGGGCGGCACGTCTTCATCCAGCGGCCCCTGATATACGGCCGGCGCGCCGCTGCAATAAACGCACGGCCCGGCCGGTGGGCCGCCGTGTGTTTATTATGGGGCCGGCCGGGCCGGGTTCGCCGCCGCGGCCGCCGCCACCTGTGTGGTCCGCGGCCCGGCGTTGCTAGGGAACGCGCCGCCGCCGACCAATGAGCGCGCAGCGAGGCGCGGAGCAGCCGGCCGCCGGCGCCGCGTCGCCAGTCGCGAGTGAGATGTGCGCGGGTGGGGTGCGCCGCCCGTCGACGTGTGACGACCGCAGTGTGCGCCGCCATGTGCCGCCGGGCCGTGACCTAGGCCGGCGCGGCCTGTGACGTCATGACAGTGAAGGGTAGCGGCGGCTGCGGGCCGCCGGCCGACGCCGAGAAGCAGCGGCCGGAGGAGACGGCGCCCTATAGCAGCGAGTTTCTGCTGCGACCGAGCTGGACCGACGCTCGGCTGGCGCTTCGGCAAGTGAACAAGGTGAGCAACGGCGCCGGTGCCTCGTCTGCCCCTGAACGACATCCCTTGTTCTTCAGCTCAACTGAATGTGAGACGTGATTCCAATATCCGGGCGAGCCACTTACGACAGTCCCATCAGGTGTCTGTATCGGCGCTGCTGCAGCGAGAAAGTCGCGAGCCGGCTGACTGTCCCGAGCGTGCCCGGCGCCACTCGAACTGACCGCCCTACACGGGCCGCGCCTGCGCACCGCCCGCTACTGAGCGCTCACCAAAAACGTACGCCAGCTGTCCGCGCGTTGTTGACTGCGCGAGCTTGGGCATTGTGCCACCGCGCCGCGCCGGCGCGTGTGTAGGACAGGAACGCGCCTCGCTACGACCCCGTGACCCCCGCGGCCCGCTAAAGGTGTCAACACAGGCCACACACCGCTCGGCAGACACTTCAAAGACTGATGAGACGTTCTGCTGCGTACTCCGACTTTCGCTCCCCCTCGTACTACGGGGAGCTATTTTTAGCGCGCCCGCTTCCTGTCATCGGTGAATGAATCGGTCCTTTACGCGTGGGCGCAGAGGAGGGGAGGGGACTCCCGCTGCTGACCGGCTCTCGCCGGGCGGTCGTGGGGGGAGGGAACTGCTGTCCAGACAGAGTCGGCAGTGTGATGTGCTGTGTAGACACCGAAGTGACGGTAGGCAATTTAGATCCTGGTATTTCTCTGCCACTCGCCATCACTGAGTGCGGTTCCCCGGGGGCTGTTTTGACCCTGCCATTTTAGATGATGCATTGATGCATCATGCATTGATGCATTGATGCATCACGCAGTGTGCAGTACTTGAGCCTGTGCAGGAAATCTAGGACTGATGCGCTTGTTATTAGGGCTCAGTGGTTGGGTCATGGGTGTACCAAAGACGACTGTGTGGGAATGTTCCGTGACCGGGCAGAACCCGGCGTCACATTCCGTAATGCACAGTTGCTTCGTATGGAAAACGGTGTACGTGAATATTCTTATTGCAGTTTTCCGCACGTAAAACTTCGTACACAAATCTCCGTGTCACTTACCGTCGTGCGTCAATATTCTTATAAGAAAAACCTTGCAACCGCGAATATTTGCACCCGCCGCGAAACTTCATGTACCTTATTGTTCATATCGATTTTTTACGCACACATCTTTCTTTTTGCTTCCCTTCGTAAGTACACGCACTTCTTCGTATCGCTTCCCTTCGCACACGCATTTCCTCCTATCTCATTTCTTCGTTCACGCATTTTTACATACGTCGTTCTTCGTATCACGCTTTTCTTACGTGCGAGCTTTCGCTCTGCATTTTTGTGCATCGTATTTACCCGACAAAAAATTGATTCACATCGTATTTTGTGTGCTTTCCTTCGCATGACAGGTCATATTTTTAGTCATTTTTGCTAACCATCAGAACCAGAAACGTTGCCAACTGGTGAGCCCTTCCTTTCAGGACAAAACTCATTGATCATATTCGACCCTTATACCTGTTACTTCAACGTGATGTTGTCTCCGATGGATGATTCGTATATTGTATGGGCAAACAAATAAATGGGCCGTTGCCTTGAACCTTTAGTTGGCTTGGGGACTTCACACGATTGAGTGTTAAAAAATCAAAATAGGTGGAAGTCCTGAAAACCGTATCAGTCTGGTCACTTTGGAGTAGGGAGAATATCAAGTTATCATCTCCTAAACAATTGATAGATTAAGCGCTGATACAAAATCATGGACAAGTCTCGCATTTCGACTGTCTTATTGGTTGATGGAAGGAGAAAGCTTGCATCTTGTCGCCAAGCAAAGAAGCTGGAGTATTTTCTCGGCTCCTGGCCATAACAGTGTACAAAGTCCTCCTGGAAGAGCTTCACGGTGACATTAAGAACCATGCTCTTCCTGTTGTTTGAAAAAGTAATTGATGACCTGATACTTGCTTCTCCTTCACGATATTTTGCTCTCGTTATCCCGTTCTCTTCCTTGGTCATAATAACCCCCCTGGTCGACCTGGAAGTCATTTTAGCATACCAACGTGCGCTCTATAATATTCTGCCACGTTCTGTCTCCACACAACGTAACCCTGCCTTGCTGATGCATGGCCTGCCTATTCTGGGATGCTTATTCTCTGTTCCTGCATCTCTCTTAGTAAGATTGGGGTGCTCGGGTCAATTCGTCGTAAGCATCTCATTTTGCATCCCAGAAACTGGACGTCCACAACGTCGGTTACCGCGTTTAGAATAAACTAGAGACAAGTTTCCGATCATATGAAACCATGAACGTTATCTTATCTTACGCAAATTTATATTTGCGGATTCGAGAATCACCATATGCTTCCGCCCTAACTCACCCTCGCTACCTCATTAACCACAGCTGCATCCTTCCAGTCAAGCGCTTTTGAATTCGTATAATTGTAATGGGAATAATTGGGTGTGCAAAAAGGGTTACGAGCAATTGCAAATGCGACCGAACGTCATAACGAGGAATTATGCATCCGAGGAAATCCGTCTCTCTCTCTCTCTCTCTCTCTCTCTCTCTCTCTCTCTCTCTCTCTCTCTCTCTCTCTCTCTCTCTCTCATCTCTCTCTCTCTCTCTCTCTCTCTCTCTCTCTCTCTCTCTCTCTCTCTCTCTCTCTCTCTCTCTCTCTCTCTCTCTCTCTCTCCTCTCCTCTCTCTCTCTATCTCTCTCCCTCTCTCCCTCTCTCTCTCAGGAAATGACGCCTTACTGGTACCACGTCATACTGAGCCATGGTGTCGGCGATTCGAAGGGATTTTCACACCTGAAAAGGGACAGACTGATTCTATCAAAACCCTGACTATGGATACACATTTCTGTACACATTCCACCTGCGCGTACGGGCATGCCATACCACAGACGCTAAGGCCGTTACCAAACTCCTCGCACAAAGTGTGAGGCGCTCTCCAAATCACGATTGCAGTGGCAACAGTTGTTTTCCGCCCCGTTACCTGCTGGTGTCCCACATCAGTCCACCGCTGTCCGAGCGGCGCTCGGCGGCTACCGCGCGCTCCGTGCTGACGCCGACCTCCTGTTGCAGGGTGACGCGGACGGTAACCGGGCGGCGCTCTGGCTGCGCGCGAGGACTCAGTGCTACCTGTTCCACACGGGGAGATTGGTGCAGAGCCACGCGGGCAAGATCCTGTTCGCCGGCGTGTTGTTACTTGCCACATTGTGTATAGGGCTCAAGAGCATTCACCCGCAAACTGACATGGAGGACCTCTGGGTGGAAGGTGAGTTGTGCGGGCGCGTCGCCAAGAGTGAGCAGCGGGTGCGGTGTGACGCGTGCGGGAGCTGGTCCGGCGGAACGGCGCCGGCCTCGGCCGCGGCCACCGGGGTACTTCGGACGCGGCCCGCTGCGCAGCGGCTGCCGCCACTAAGCGTAGCCAGCTCCTGAGCGGCGAGAGCCGGTTTGGCGCCCTGTCGCGTGAGTGTCGCTGCCTTGACGCGGAGTTCTCTGCCGTCATTGACCCGCTGTGGCGTGGCTGGACGCCACCTGACATCAGTGGGTGTGGGGCCTCCGGGGGTGGGCTGGCCGCCGTCACCGCAGGCTGTCAGCTATTGGCCTGGGGGGGGGGGAGGGGGATGGCCGTGACCGCGGCCCTCAAAGCGCCGGTGGGCGCGTCGCAGCCGGCCAGATACCCGTGCCTTCCGCTCTAATGGATGTGTCGGCCGGCGTGATGAATGAATGTAAATTGCCGGCGAGCCGCGCTGTTTTTCGCCGCCTTCCTATCCCTCAATGTCAGACGGAAACGTCGAAAGGAAAAAACAACACATTGTGAGGACTTACTTCGGTAACATTTTGGTTGCAATATGTGGTCCCCGTCCCTGTCCTCTCTGCATATCCTGCGTCATCGCTTGCGACATGATCGACCTCTTGCTCACCGCCCCGCGTGCTGGCCTCCTCGTGTGCCGGCGCCGGTGCGCAGCCCCCACGCCCCAGCCGCTGGTCTCGTTGCCCATCGTTGGATTGTGTCACTGACAGTACCCTCCGTATCGGTAGCAGGTCGCCAAGTGAGCTGCGCCAATCGGCCCCAGCCTCTGGGCGCATTGTTCGCCGTCGGTCCCAGCTGTCGCGCGTGCCCCCATTCGTCAGACCTGCCGGGCTCAGTGCCCGTATGGCCCAACCGCGGGGCCTCGCAACCGGCAGCTGCTCGAGCCCCCGCCATTGTGTTCTCTCCCCAGCCGATGCGCCGTCCCGCCGAATTTGTCGCTGCTGCCGGTCGGAGCCGCCTGGCTTGCAACCCAATGTCGGTCCCAGACTCTGGGCTCGGTGCTATCGGTTCAGGGTGCCGGGCTTGTAGTCCACTATCGGTACAAGCTCCCATACTTGTGGCGCACTATCGGTACAAGCTCCCAGGCTTGTGGCGCACTATCGGTACAAGCTTCCAGGCTTGTTGCCCACCAGCAGGCTCAGCTGCCAGTTTATTTATCCAGCCTGGCTGCTCTGTCTTCACTGGCGGCTAATGGTTGCGAGCGGCGGGTGCCACCCGGGCGCCACGTCCGATTACAGTCGGCGGACGGCACGGCCGCGCCGCGGCCTCCGCGCTCGGAGCTCTCCTCGGAGCTCTCTTCGGAGCTCTCCTCGGAGCTCTCCTCGGAGCTGGCGGCTGCAGCTGCTGACGTCCGGGCCCGCCGCAGCCTCAGCTGGGGGCGACGGTGCCACAGGGCCTGTCACGCTGGGTCCGCCCTGAGCTGGCCTGCTCAGGTTGACTGTCGGTGTCATGCTTGTTTCCACCCGAAACCAGCCTGCTCAGGTTGGCTCTCATGGTGTCACGCTGGTGTCCGCCTCGGGTCAGCCTGCTCAGGTTGGCTCTCATGGTGTCCGCTGGTGTCTGTCTTCGGTCAGCCTGCTCAGCTTGACTCTGGAGATGTCGCACTGATGTCCGCCCGTAGCCAGCCTGCGCTCACACATCCGCGGTCGTCAGCTCTGTTTACTGCGCGCCGACATGCCGCTGGTGACATGACCTGATTAATGAGCCGAGTGCTGTATTGTGCTGGATCGCGAGCATTTATACACGATAAGGTCAACTTAGCACAAGGTTTTTTGCAACGCGTGGCGCTGAGGCAGAGAGTGGCAAAGACTGTTTGCTATACTTACGCTGAGCCATGCGCCCCGGGCCAAAGCGGACGAAGGGAGTGGGGAGGGGGAGGGCTACCTCGCCGCCCGATCAGCTTATAGTTGTACCCGTGGTGTTGCATGAAAACAATGGGCAAGCAATTATTTTCACCAGCGGGCGCCGCTGCCCTCGTGGTGCACATTCGTCGCAGTCGCTTAATCCAACGCGACACCTGTCTCCGCGTCAATGTCGTGCGGACAGCAGATACCCAGCAGTTTTGAATACAACTTCAGCGATTTACAACATGACGCTTGCGTGCTGCACGTCGCCGCCAGATGCGTGCTTTCGAATCCCCGCAGCAGGACGCGTCCGGCCAGGAACCCCATGCAAAAAGACGAGACCGCGGCGTGTCGTTCGTTCCCTCCTTCCGGCCCTCGCGACAGATCTATTCCGGCACATCGTCCGTCAGTCGGCCGTCGACGCCCGCCGTCGCTGCCGATGCCGCCCGGCGCCGATGGGCCGCCGTTTTTGCCGCGGCGCGCCGGCTCTGTCTCGGGTTTCGGTCGCTGTTTTGCGGCGGTCGTTGGCGGCCGCCCGTCGCGTGCCCGGGCGCCCGTTTTTGCCTCCCGCGCCGCCGCCGCCGCCGCCGCCGCCGAAGCCACCACCACCATCGTCGTCGTCGCTTGGGTGGTGGCGGCGGCGGCTGCGCCGCTGTTTGTTGACGTGGCCGGCTGGCGCGGTGGTACGCTTTGTTTGTGCAGACGACGCCGCCGCCGCCGCCGCCGCCGGCGGCGGGGGGCGGCTGCCGAGGATCGGCACGCGGCCCGACGCAGCTGGCGAGCGGTCGGCGTCGTCGGCGGCTGTGAGTCCGGCCCCCGCGCCGGTGGTTGTGTGTCCGGCCCTCGCACCGGCGGCTGTGGGCCCGGTCCTTGCACCGGCGGCTGTGGGTCCGACCCTCGCGCCGGTGGCTGTAGGTCCGGCCCTCGCGCCGGTGGCTGTCGGCCCGGTCCTTGCACCGACGGCTGTGGATCCGACCCTCGTGCTGGTTGCTGTGTGTCTGGCCCTCGGGCCGGTGGTTGTGTGTCTGGCCCTCGGGCCGGTGGCTATAGGCTCAGCCCTCTCGCCGGTGGCTGTGGGTCCGGTCCAAAAGTTAATACAATAGGTTGATTGGAGTCATTGTAGGTCACTGACCTCTTCTGGTCTTTGAGAAGTTAAAAGAAAGAACATTCGTTGACTTGCTTGAGATAATAATTCAAATAAAGCGTGAACAGCCGCCCCACAAAGCAAGCTCTATTGTAAAACACAATTTTGTCGTCCTCGACCTGATCTTTACACCTGACCCAAGGCCAATGGAGTTAGTTGTTATCCTAAATTCCATTGTCAAGTACAACAATCGTCTCAAAGATGCAGCTTCGTCTAGCACTCCGTTGTCCAATCAGATTCAACGATTATCTACGAAGTGTCTTGGCTGACAGCCATGGCCTACCTTTGACCCAGGGGTGTAGCCTCCTTTGTAGTTGGGAGGGTGGGGGGAGAGGCGAAGGCGAAGGGCCGCCAACTTGGGCTTCTGCCCCCCCCCCCCGTAAGTTTGGGAAGAAAGTGGGCAAGATCGGGGAAACACTGTTTTTTATAGATATTTTAGGACAAATTGCGTCATTTTTACTGTTCAGCCCCCAACTTATTTTGTAAAATTACGACCTTACTTTGATCTCCCATAGTTCAGTGACGTTGCAAGCAGGAGCGTCACTTAGAAAAATCGTTTGGGGGAAGGCGGGCTGAGCCAATAAATTTGACCTAACATGCCCCAAATCTGGATTTTTCTTCCGACTTCAGGCACTTTGATTTGAATTCCCGTCGCAAAATTGATATTTAAAAACAGCTTGGTCACCTCCAAAATAGTTTTCAAGCCGAGATATGGCTTGGCGTTTGAACCCGATGTAATAGTGATAATGCTGATGGGTATGGGTGTAGGTATGATGGGTACAGTTATGATGGTTATAGGTATGGATGGTATGATGGGAAAGGTGTTTATAGTGTAGGGATATATGATTGCCAGTGATCTGTTAAGATACCTCGTTTACCAGCGGCTCAGACACTTGCATTTCATTAACCCAGCATTTCCGTTCTTGATCATGTGCATTAGAGAGGGAGGGGGTCACAAGAGCATTACGGGAGCTGAAGTCAGCTTTGAGCAGGGGCTCAGGCCCCTTGACAGTATGAACGTGACACCCCTGATTACAATGTACATAATTTTGATATCATTCCAAAAGATCGGCTGTTCAACTATCTACAGCTTTACAAAGTTCGACGTTGCCATGCCATGATGTTCAGAAGCTATTTTGAAAAATTCTTCGCGACGCGGGAGGGGGGGTGGGGTGGGGGTTTGCAATCCGGCCGTGCGTTAATACGTGGGATGCAGGATAATTGAGTTGTGGTGCTTGAAAGAGTACGCCCAAAGTCACACCGCCCCGTCAACATAGGATTTGAGATTTTCATTTAAAACATTTGCCTACATTATGCAATGAGACAGACATTTCTGAACTACTTGCAGCTGAAGAGAGTGCCAGCAAAAGCTTTTGATCTCATGGGACGCTGTTCGCGTGATTTCTCGTTGCCGAAAATGGTGACGCGATACAAAGGTCACCAGCGTCACTTTCCCTGTCACTAGTACGCGGTATTCTCTATTGTTCTGTCAAATTTCGATTCCGTGCAGTAAGGAACGCTTTGGTCTCAGATGAACGCGGCAGCTTGTCCCGTGAGACTAGCGACCAGTGGCTGCTGGCTTTTTGGTGCATGTTCAGAAACAGTCCCACTGGACCCGGGTGGCGACCTCTCTTCAGACGCCATCTGGTGGCGTCTGTTCGCACTGACTCCGGTCATCGGGATGCGACGCGCAGCAGCCCTCAGCGGAGTCGGTGACACGCTCCCGCCCGACGCGCGCCGCTGAGTGCGGCGCGGCGCGCGCTGTCCGCCACTCTCCGAACACGGCGCGGCGTCTCCCATCCCGGCGCTCAGAGTCTGAGGTCGGTGGTGGCGGCGCGGGGTTCAAAAGCGCCGACCGCGACGGCGGCGACCTCTCCGTCGGCGCCGCCACATCAAAGGCGGCGCGCCGCCGCCCGGCGCCGGGTAATGGCGCGGCGCGCGCGCGCGTAAATCAGGCCCGACAGACGGGCGTCGTCGGTGCAGGTCCCTGCTGTCACCGTCTGTGTACAGATCGGGTCGGAAGATTGGAGTGGCGTGTTCTGTACGCCATCTGTCGGTGTTCTGCGGGCACACAAATAGCTTGGATGCTAAAGAGGGGTTTGCGTGTGACGCACGTAGGCCAGAGAGCTGAATGCCGTCTGTTCGGACCCACCGACTGGCGGTGTCGTTTTAGATCTTTTGGGGATTGAACCTTGCGGGCGAGAACCAGGAATCTTTTCTTATTTTATGGCGCCGCTGGTCTGTCGGGGGCAAGCGTTTCTTGGGCAGCATGAAGCCACTTCTGCTACCGCAGCGGATTGTCGTTGGCATCAGACGGCGGATATTTGGAATGCTATTATGGTTGTTTAGACAAGCGTCGATTCGATTCGATGAATCGATGAGCCTTCCTCCAGAAGAGTTTGATGACATTTTACACATGACCCGGCGAACACAAATACATGCCAGCGATACAGCATCCTTGTTCAGGAGGATAGGGTACATCTGTTCGCTCTTCTGTTTGTCAGTGGACAGCAACTTAATGCTGACGCATCATCAGCTAATCACGCCCTCTGCAGAAACGGAGAGGCCTATTACGTGTAACCCACTCCGGCTTGAAGGATCGGCCTCGTCATTTGCTATGGCCGGTCTGTCATCCCACGTCACCGTTTGACCTGGTCGATCGCAGACCGCCCAAGAGCCGGATCCATCCCCCGTGTTGGTGTTGGTTTGCTCCTGTTCGTGCAGTAGAAGTTCCGCAGCCCTGGAACTCTCCGTTTGGGGCTTCCCGCTATCTGTAATGGCCTCACGTTTTATAACGACAGTTTCAGCTGTCCCTGCTGTCGCCCCTGTTCGCTGTCCGCTGTCCCTGTCCGCTGTCCGCTCTTGTGCGCCCTCCCTGTCCTCTGTCCGCTCCTGTCCGCCGTGCTCGTCCCCTGTCCGCTCCTGTCCGCCGTGCTCGTCCCCTGTCCGCTCCTGTCCGCCGTGCTCGTCCCCTGTCCGCTCCTGTCCGCCGTGCTCGTCCCCTGTCCGCTCCTGTCCGCCGTGCTCGTCCCCTGTCCGCTCCTGTCCGCCGTGCTCGTCCCCTGTCCGCTCCTGTCCGCCGTGCTCGTCCCCTGTCCGCTCCTGTCCGCCGTCCCTGCGTGAGAGTCGGTCCTGCTCTGCTTTCCAGTCCGGCCGGGCTCGGCTGCCGAACCTGGTGACCCGGGCTCAGGCGCTGAGGACTGGGGAGAGTGTCTCGCGGCGAGCGGGCTGGGCCAGGCTGCCGCGGCCGGCCGGAGCAGGGGACAGAGTGCGGGGGACGGGCTGGGCCAGGCTGCCGTGGCCGGCCGGAGCAGGGGACAGAGTGCAGGGGATGGGCTGGATCAGGCTACGTTGCTCGGGAATTCCGCGGGGCTTTGAGCTTGAGAATGGTCAAGTTTAAGAATAAAACTAAACGCATAGCGTGCTCTAAATTTGGGAGACCCCTGTACGGCGTGAGTACCTCAGTGCATCGCGTTGCGGTCCGACTGGGCGGAGGTGAGCGCTTGCGATTAGGCCTTGTAATGTGATAGGGACCTGGGATACGGTAGTAAAGACACTGTTAGGCCCGCGGACGCTCTAAGAATTCAAACGCTTTTAGGTATGCTTTGTTATGTCACTGGTATTGTTTCAGGTGCATTCATTTAGAGAACTTCGTATATATCTGATTCCAGAACTCTGCCGTTAAGCGGTTGTTCCGTGGACGACCATTGCCCACACATTGAAATGCACTGCAGGGCTCATTGCACGGAAATGGTGCGCGTTTCATCGCAAACTCACCGAGTGCCTTCCTAAGTTGTACGCCCCAGCGAATGTGCCCGAATGTAATCCTGGAAAATGGAAGCTCCCGTAGGTTCGTGGCTCTGGTGTTGGGTAACATGCAAACATCCGGGCCGCACGCTGAGCCTTGACTTGTGCGTCGCCTGCTGCTGGCCTACACAGAAGAGTCGGCCTCCGTCCCCGCCGACCGGCCGCCGCGGCGTATTCCGGTGCGTTAGCATATGTGCCTGCTGCTGGCCTACACAGAAGAGCCGGCCTCCGTCCTCGCCGACCGGCCGCCGCGGCGTATTCCGGTGCGTTTGCATATGTGCCTGCTGCTGGCCTACACAGAAGAGTCGGCCTCCGTCCTCGCCGACCGGCCGCCGCGGCGTATTCCGGTGCGTTTGCATATGTGCCTGCTGCTGGCCTACACAGAAGAGCCGGCCTCCGTCCTCGCCGACCGGCCGCCGCGGCGTATTCCGGTGCGTTAGCATATGTGCCCGCTGCTGGCCTACACAGAAGAGTCGGCCTCCGTCCTCACCGACCGGCCGCCGCGGCGTATTCCGGTGCGTTAGCTTATGTGCCTGCTGCTGGCCTACACAGAAGAGACGGCCTCCGTCCCCGCCGACCGGCCGCCGCGGCGTATTCCGGTGCGTTTGCATATGTGCCTGCTGCTGGCCTACACAGAAGAGCCGGCCTCCGTCCTCGCCGACCGGCCGCCGCGGCGTATTCCGGTGCGTTAGCTTATGTGCCTGCTGCTGGCCTACACAGAAGAGTCGGCCTCCGTCCCCGCCGACCGGCCGCCGCGGCGCATTCCGGTGCGTTAGCATATGTGGGCGGCGGCGGCCACCTTCCGATCCAATTACGCCCGCCCATCTCAGTCCCGTAAAAACGGACCAGCTGCATTGTACGGGCCGGCTCGGCTCCGCAGCCGGGTCACGTTCCCATCAGCCGCCGACCGGGTGCCCCCCCCCCCCCCCAGCGGACGTGCAGCACGGTGAGGACGTGCCGCGCCGCACACGGCGCACCATTACCGCCGGCAGACGGAGACGGGGACGGAGACAGAGACAGAGAGGGAGAGGGGCGGCGGTGGGTTCCGGCTGTTGCCGGCCGACGACCGCCGTCCGCCGCCGTCTCACGTGCGCGCCGACCGCGGCCCGCTTCAGCACCCCCCCCCCCCCCTCACCTAGACGGCGGCCGTGTCGGATCGCTATCTGTCAGCCGGCGGCGGGCATAACTCTGGCGCGGCCACTGGCTGGGCGCAGATGCGTGCCGCCCCGCCCCCCACCCCCCGCGCCGCCCGGTCGCTGCACCGGCACGGGCCGATAGGATCACGGCCGCCGGCCCGGCCGCCACAGCGGGCGTCCGTCACAACTGGAGCATTTATCGTTCATTACGTCTCATTAAAGGGTGAACCGCGGGGCCGGCCGTCTCCGGGCCGGCCCATTAAACGAGATTCCGGGTGGGAGCCGTCGCCGCGCGCCGGTCCCGGCGGCGGGCGGGCCGGTAAAAACGGCGCGGCGCGGCGGCCCGGCCGGCCGGCGCCCGGCCCGCTCGGCGGCCGCGCCCGGTGGTCGCCCGTCGGCCGGCCCTCCGTCGGCCGCCGCCGCCGTTTTTGCCGGGTCTCCGCCGTGTGCTCGCCGTGCGGTGGCCGGCCGACGCGGGCCGCGGCCTGCACTCGGGGCGCGCCGGCGTGGCGTGGCGCACCGGCGCCGCCCGCCCGCCCGCCTCCTGGCCTCCTAACGACTGACTGCGATCTGGGCGCCAGATGAGCCCGTCTCCGGAGAGACGGATGCGAGCCATTAGTGGGACCGGCCTCTCCCGGCCGGCCGTTTCTTCATTTGGGGTCTGAGACGGCACCTCCAGGCTCGCCGCTCACCTACCCGTCTCACAACTTTGTGCAACTGGATCTGGGATTTTGCATCTCTCGTCGCCATCCCGGGTGTATGTTTGTTTGTGTGCAGCATGCATACTAAGTAGTCCGCTCCTTGAAGTGTGTGTAGTTCTGAACGTTGACTAGCTCCCACTTGTGTACGCTGTCCGTCAAAATGATGTGTTATGCTGCAGCATAGAGCTTAGATAGAGTCCGTTAGTTATGATTTACCACGCGCTCTGGTTCCATTTCTCCTCGCCACAGAGGCTTTCGCAACCTCCAACAATCAGACCCGTGGTGCCGCGGCGTGGAGCTCGTGGCCGGATGAAGTAGGGGAGTTATGGTTGGTTGAGCACAGAATGCGTGGAGTGCAGGATTGGCCGAACTGATCACCGGATGCTGACCTCAGCGTCGACGCGCGAGAACCTTTAATCACGTGGTCCGTGTTATTCAACGCCAAACAACTGTTCTGATTCCACGTAGCGGGACCCCGCCTGAAGTCCGATCAGATGGCGTCCCAGCGATCAGTACAGATCTTCAATGCTAGCAGCAGTCCACAGCAGCGGAAAGCAATGGTGCTTGCAAAACAATGTGCTTGCTATATATATAGCATGCATGGGACTTGACTCAACAGGATCTAGTCCACTGTCGTCTGCAAATACCGGGAGGCTCCAGAAAAACTTTATTTCACTTGACCTGTCCTGCCTTGACCTGAGCTCACCTGTATGGTGGAGGGCGGTCGGCTGAAGCGGGAGCTAGAGTACTGTCTTGACCCGACCTAACGTGTTGGCAGCCAGCTGGAGGAGACCTTGAGGGCGCACTGCCCTGACCTGACCTGACCTGACCTGACCTGTCCGGCAGAGGGTGGTCGGCTGAAGCGGAAGCTAGAGTCCTGTCTTGACCCGACCTAACGTGTTGGCAGCCGGCTGCAGGAGACCTTGAGGACGCACTGCCCTGACCCGACCTGACCTGACCCGACCTGACCTGTCCGGCAGAGGGCGGTCGGCTGGAGCGGGAGCTGGAGTACGTGCGGAGCAGCCTGGGCGACGGCGCCGGCTCGCTCAACCAGATCGTAGTACAAACGCCGCACGGCCAGGCGGGCTCCGTACTGAGGCCCGACGCCCTGCTCGCCCACCTGCACGCCGTCAAGGCAGCTAGTCAAGTCTCTGTCGACATGTATGATATGTGAGTACGGCTGGCGTCTGGCGCTCTTCTGTTTTTTAGGATTTGTCCCGATGCCCGGCGCCACGCGTCGGCTTGGAGGGCGAGGGCACCCGTGCCCCCCTCCCCCTCTGTTGTGTGCTTGTCTGGTTTCGCCGATTTGTGCCACTCATCGAAAACCACTGGTGAAGAAGCACTGAACTGTGTACCATCCGTGCGCTCACATGGTGCAGCTTACGAACTATGTAAGCCACAGTCCCGCCTGACGAAGCTCAGGCGTAGTGAGACCACGTCCTAATGGCTGCATACAGCACAGCTTGCTAACACGGTCTGAACCTGCTGCGGCGCACGCATCGCCACACGTCACGGCGTCTCTGCCGCGAAGCTGACGCTGTTCACATGACGGCTGTTGGCTGGTCGATGATGGCCTTGTCTCCGGCTGAGTCGCGGCGGGTCTGGGCTGGGACCCGCTGTCGGCCGTGCCGCGACACTGACCAGCGTCGTGTCCGTGCCGGCGGGCCGACGGAAGGCCTGTTTACCGGGGCCGCGTCTGCGCCCTGTCCGCCGGCGGCCGCTGTCGGCCCGCTGTAATGACGGCTGCTCGGTCCGCCGCCGTCCCTGTTAGCCGGGCCCGGCCGGCTGGACCACCCAGGCGGTGCGGGCCCGGCCGGCCGGCGCGCGGCTGCCGGTGCGCCAGCTGATGTGCGCCGCTGACATGGCCGCGCCCGGTCAAGGTCAGCGCCGGGCGGCGACGAGGGGGGGGGGAGGGGTGCTGTCGCCGAGCCGGCCGCCAGCTGACCGGCGACCTTGTCTTTTTCAGAACGTGGAGATTGAAAGATCTATGTTTTGCGCCGAGTTTTCCCATGTATGAAGAGCATCTAGTAGATCAAGTGAGTGGATTGTCACTGGTTTCTGCGGATAAATCCCGCCCGGTAGGCTGAGCGGTTATGGGATTATTGCGCTTCGGAGACCAGGCAGCCGGTTTCAGGCTGGTCTGCTGGATCTAACTGTACTTTGTGTACTAGCCGATCATCGTCATTTTGCCCATTTTTACAAGCATACCGGCCTTCGGCGCTCAGAACAGGACGATTTTGTCCGCGTCTCACCCGCTGTCGGCACGGAATTGTAAATAACTGAGGAGATCACGCCTGTTCCCTGACAGGCCACCATTACTCACTCGGTGGTGTGACACTTGTGTGTTTATAAACGACTCATCCTCTGTTTGTGATTTCAGATAATGGAGAAGCTCATCCCGTGCTCCTTTGTGACTCCATTAGACTGTTTTTGGGAAGGCTCAAAGCTGCTGGGGCCCGAGTTCCCCGTCACCCTACCGTGAGTGCAAGCGCTGCGGGTCATCGGCGGCCTTGCCCTCTGACCAACCGTTGCAAACTGTGATCAGGTCCAGAAAAACGTACAGTAACTGATGCGAGTACGCACTCACGCACCCGTCATGAACCGGATAGCATAGCGGCCGAAGTTCGACGGTGTCGAACGCGGCTGGTGTGGACCGAGCCAAGAGCCAGTTTGGACCGAACCATGAGCCGGTTTGTGGCGGGCCACAATCCTGGCGAGCGGTATCGGAGCCAGCGCTGAAGCTGTCTGGTCCCGCAGGCAGATGCCGGGCAAGCTGCAGTGGACAAACCTGGACCCGGAGAAGGTGTTTGGTCTCATGGACAGCCGATTCGGGCCCGAGTTCCAGTTCGACTCGCTGCAGAAGTACATGAAGGGGGTGAGTGTTATGCGCGCCGCGCGGCGGCGCCGGGCCGGCCGCGCCGACGCGCCGCGCTGCACACGTGACGGACGGCTCCATTCAGCGGGCGAGGCGGCCTGTCAGCGGCTCTTGAGCGCCGGTCAGCGCGCCATAACTCGCGCATGGCGCACCTGCGCCACTCTCGGGCACAACAGGGCGGCGCGCGGATCACTCGCGTCGGCTGGCGCATTGTGGTGCGGCGGAGCGCGGGTCAGCCGACCCGTGACCCGGCCGCGCGATAACAGGCCGACGTCCGGCCGCCGCTGGGAACCGAGCGCCGGCCGGCCGACCACCCAGCGCGCGCGCCCGGCCGCTCGCCAGTAACGGCCGCCGGCCGGCGGCGGCGGCGGCGCGGCTTAATCACACCTGCCGGCCGCCGGGCGAGGGGGGCGGCTTCATTACGCGGCTCCGGCCCGGCGCGGCCCGGCGCGCCGGTGATTACTGGCCGCGTTGGGCAGCTCGGCGGCGGCTGGCGCGCGGCGAGCAGTCCCGCTGGGCGCGGCCGTGTGTCTCAGCGCCGTACGTGGCGGCTTTTGGCCGGCCGGCGGCTTCTGGCTGGTCCGCGGCCTCTAGCTGGCCCGCGGCCTCTGGCTGGCCGGCGCCCTCTGACCGGCCCGCGACCTCTGGCTGGCCGGCGGCCTCTGACCGGCCCGCAGCCTCTGAACGGCTCGCGTCCTGCCGCTCGGTCTCCGAGCCGGCGTTCGGACGTGCGCCAGGCACCCGGCAGGCGGGGCCGCGGAGGGGCCGTCCGGCGGGGGAGCGGTCCCTTAGAACAGGGGCTCCGGGTCGCCACGGTGGGCCCAGGAATGACTCGCCCTTCCGGCGGTAACCCCAGTCCCGTCCGGCCGCGCCGGCTGGTCTGTATGTCTGGGTGGGAGGTCCGGCTCCCTGCTGGCCTGTGAATGGTGAGGTGTTTGCCACGCTGCTTCCGGCCAGGATGCGTATACACAGCCGTGAGATTGGTCGTCTGGCGTCCGGTTCGCCACCCTTTGTATCGCCGTGCGGTTGAATTATCTGATTGAGATGTCGGTTCACCGCCCTGTCTAGCGTCGCGCCCTTGAATCAGCTGATTGATATTTGCCGGTGTTAACAACGCTTCGAGGCTTTTCGTGCGCGCCCAGTGTGGCTCGCTGTCAATACTTATTCAGCGCCACTGCGCCGTCTTCAGCGCGCTACGGCGGCGCTGCGGTCGGACTCCGCGCTCGGCGGGGAGCCGTCGCGTCTTGGCTAAAGCGTCACTGTGATCCAACAGACAACAGATGGCTTACAGGCAGGCCAAATGCTGCCGCCTTGTGGTGCCAGTGGCACGGTCGTGCACGCCGCTGCTGGCCTCGCTGGCCCGGGGCGGTGGCCGCCGCCGCCGGCCCGGTCTGTGGCCGCGCCCTGACCGGGGTCACTGCCGGCAGGCGGGCATCACTAGCGGGTACCAGCGGCGGCCGTGCCTGGACCCGACCGACCCCGAGTGTCCGGCGACGGCGGCCAACAGCGGCTCCGGCCGGCCGCCGGACGTGGGCGCCGAGCTCACCGGCGGCTGCTACGGCTTCGCCACCAAACACATGCACTGGCCGGAACAGCTCATCGTCGGAGGCGTGGAGAAAAACCGCACGGGCCACATCGTCAGGTGAGCAGAGCCGCATGGGCCACATCGTCAGGTGAGCAGAGCCGCACGGGCCACATCGTCAGGTGAGTAGATCCGCACGGGCCACATCGTCAGGTGAGCGGAGCCGCACGGGCCACATCGTCAGATGGGCAGATCCCCACGGGCCACATCGTCAGGTGAGCGGAGCCGCACGGGCCACATCGTCAGATGGGCAGAGCCGCACCGGCCTTATCGTCAGGTGAGCGGAGCCGCACGGGCCACATCGTCAGGTGAGCGGAGCCGCACGGGCCACATCGTCAGGTGAGCGGAGCCGCACCGGCCTCATCGTCAGGTGGGAAAGAGAGAGGCAACGAGGCAAGGGGGAGCCAGGGGGAGGCAACGCTGCGACGGGCGTCGCCAGTCGGCCGCTGAAGATCTGGCCGCTTCGTGAGGCAGGGGCCGGGCTGGATCTGGTCCGGGCCAGATCTTATGCCGCCTGCTCTTGTGAGGCCGGGTCTGGTGCCGCTTGTCCCTGTAGCCGGGTCTGCCCGCTCACCAGCCGGGTTGTCTTTGGACAGGGCTAGCGCGCTCCAGACGGTGATTCAGCTGATGGGGGAGAAGAACCTGTACGAGTACTGGACCGACAACTGGAAGACGCACAACATGGACTGGAGTGTGCCCATGGCCAAGGCTGTGCTGGACGCCTGGCAGCTCAAGTTCTCAGAGGTTAGCACTACACTTCTCTCTGTCTCTGTGCTTGCTCCTCGCAGTCGCCGCCATTCTTTGCAGATGAGGCCAGTGTTGTGCCGTTCGGGTCTTTGGTTATGAATCCCACCGAGAGAATAGTAATGAGACCGACTCCAAAGTGGTGTTGTCATTCTGATGGTCATGTTGTGTTCTCAAATGTTCTTGGTTGTCAGCAGTCTGTGTGAACGATTTCCGAACTGATCTAGTGTTTTGCCCGTACAGGTGCTTATTTATTAACCTATATTATTATGTAGACTATATATATATATATATATATATATATATATATATATATATATATTAATCTAAACTAATTATATTATTAAGATTTTAAAATGTGGGCTGAGTCTGGATCCTGCATCCTCGCCATGCCGCGGACAGGCCACGCGTTTTGGATATCTGACGTTCCAAGATGTAATCGTCTATGGCGTGTTGTGGGAACATCGTAATATTCAACGTTTAGTAAGATGGCTATTCGGATAACTTGGTGGGGTCAGGATTTTCCAAAAGGCTGGTTGACGGAACGGGTAGATATCTTTAGTGCCAGGCTCCAATCGAAACTGCAGCACTTATCGCAAAATTGTATCCGCTCACTAGTCATTTACCGTTGCCGCCTGTTTTAGGCCACGGCCGCGGTGGTGATGGATCGCATGTCAAGGAACGGAGGCCTGCTGTTTAATGAGTCATGTTTTCACCGCATATCGCTGGTCGTGTTTGTGACGCGCCTTGGACCGAATATTGCGTTGATTTAAGCACCCTGTATGGACCCCGCACTTCTGTTGAGAGTCGCCGCGGGCTGCCGGGCCCGATGTATTCACCCCCCCCCCCCTCCCCCGCGGCGGCCTGCTCCAGGCGCTCCGTGCCAGGCCGCCTCTCTGAGAGCCTCCCCGGCGTCACGGCCGGCCGGCCAGCCTCGCGATGAAGCCATCAGCGCGCGGCGCGGCGCCGGCGGCCGTTCCCAGACGGGCTCGGTGCAGGCCGACCGGCCGGCAGCGGCCGCGCCGCCTCGGCCCGGCGCCGGCCGCGCTGCACCACGCGCTGGGTGGTCGCCGACATCGGCCGTACGGCTGAAATACGACCGGCTCCAATTACAAATCATGTTTGTGGGGGCTTAATTAAAAGACGCGGTGTGTGGCGGGGCGGCGTCCGCCGCCGCTGCCGCCTGCGCACCATGTGTTATGGCCGCCCCTGCAGGCGACGGGGACGGGTGGCCGCGGGGCGGGGACACGCCGGCTCCCCTCCCCCAGGGATTCGGGGGCACCCGGGGAAGCTCGACTAGCTGCACCGCCCGCGAGTTTGCAGACGCGTCTCGGACAGATTTATGCCGGTCATGGCCGCATAGTTCGACCCCGTAACCGGAGACTGGAGCACGTGCCGGTGCATACGGGCCCATCCCGCCACCGCCGCTGTCCTACCCATCACATGCTCAGGCAGCTTTGTGTGGCTGCTGGTCATGGGATCCGTTTGTGGACGCCGAGGATGCCACCGGTCACGAGCTCTTTACGTGCCTTGAATTCCGCGTGCACTTTTGGTGGACTAGGTGGCTATTGAATGCGCATTTGGCGAATCAGCGCTATATCCGTGGTATTTGCGTGCTGATTCGGACGCGATCCATGGTTCCCGACGCTCAAATACGCCAACTGCGGCGCTACCACATAAACCTGTGCTCGATAACAGGTAGCATAACTGTCAGCGACAGCTACACAGTTGGTTTGCAGGACGACCAGCGTGCTGGGCCATCGGCGAGTTAGGCCGACGGCAGATGGGATCAGCGGCGTCGCCGGGTCGTGGCTCGCTCGGCAGCTGAGCTGACCCCCGCCTCCTTCCCTCCCTCTGTTGGCAGGAGGTCAAGCGGTACACGGAGCAGCACGCCGGCACCCGGCCGTACAACATCCACTCGTACTCGACCGAGTCGCTGGACCAGATGCTGCGGCAGTTCGCCAGCTTCGACCTGACGCGGCTGGGCATCGGCTACGGTCTCATGGTGCGTGTGCCGCCGCCGTGTGTATACCCCGCCCATCGCCAGGCGACACATCTGCCGCCGTGTGTGTACTCCGCCCATCGCCAGGCGACACACCTGCCGCCGTGTGTGTACTCCGCCCATCGCCAGGCGACACATCTGCCGCCGCGTTTGTGCCCCGCCCGTTGCTAGGCGACGCATTCCCATCATTCCACCTCGCTAGTCACAGTCTTGTTGTCTCAAAGTCGTAGTTAATTTATTTGGCTACGTTTCGGATGTAGAATCCTACTGAGTCTCAAACCATCCCCCGCCCACATCATAAAATCTCCAGCAACTTCGTCAGCTGTCTGACCACCACACGCTGCCCACATGCGGCTGTATGAGGCATGTGTGAGACGCCCGTGGTCTGGCGCCTCCTGACACGCCGGCCGGGTAGTGGCCCGCGTGATGACGCCGCGTCTGTCAGCGCACCAGCTCGGCACGCGGCAGCGCACGGGCGGGTCAGTCGAATGCCCGGCATGGTGCGAAGGCCGGGCCGTCAGCAAGCCGATGGGGACCGTCATCGTGACGGTAGCGTAACGATAGCGGTCCCGCAGCGTGTCCGTCATCATGCCGGCACCCAGTGGCATGTGGGCTCGCCACGACTGCAGCATGTCCGTCAGCGTGTTGGTGGGATGCTCGTCGCCATGTCGATGAGATATCTGTCACCATGTCGATCACATGTCCGTCAACACGTGGGTAAAGTGTCCGATACCGAACCGGCTAGCACTCCGTCAGTGTGCGAGAGCCGGCTGTGCGCCACCGTGTCCATGTTATGTTGAGAGCTTATGGGTGCTGTGTCCATCAGGGCAATGGCCGGGCCGGTATAGGGTGCCGTGTCCGCCGCGGCAGTGTTCGGACCGGTAGCGGGTGCCGTGTCCACCGGGGCAGTATCCGGGACGGGAGCGGGTGCCGTGTCCGCCACGGCAGTGTTGGGACCGGCAGCTGGTGCCGTGTCCACCGGGGCAGTGTCCGGGACGGCAGCGGGTGCCGTTTCTACCGCGGCAGCGTCCGGACCGGCAGCGGATGCCGTGTCCACCGGGGCAGTGTCCGGGACGGCAGCGGGTGCCGTGTCCACCGGGGCAGTGTCCGGACCGGCAGCGGGTGCCGTGTCCGCCGCGGCAGTGTCCGGACCGGCAGCGGATGCCGTGTCCACCGGGGCAGTGTCCGGGACGGCAGCGGGTGCCGTGTCCGCCACGGCAGCGTTGGGACCGGCAGCGGGTGCCGTGTCCGCCACGGCAGTGTCCGGACCGGCAGCGGGTGCCGTGTCCACCGGGGCAGTGTCCGGGACGGCAGCGGGTGCCGTGTCCGCCACGGCAGCGTTGGGACCGGCAGCGGGTGCCGTGTCCGCCGCGGCAGTGTCCGGACCGGCAGCGGGTGCCGTGTCCACCAGGGCAGTGTCCGGACCGGCAGCGGGTGCCGTGTCCGCCACGGCAGTGTTGGGACCGGCAGCGGGTGCCGTGTCCACCGCGGCAGTGTCCGGACCGGCAGCGGGTGCCGTGCCGCCGCGGCTCGTGCTGCCTGGCCCGGCCCCGTCAGTTAGCTGCACGCTCCTCCCTGGCCGCCGTCATTAAGATGCGGCCGACTGATACGCTGCAGCTGTTTCGCGCTTTGTAACGGCCGCTCGGCAACCTCTGACCCGCGGCCGTGCCGCTGGCGGGCGCGGGGCCGGCGTCGGCGCCCGGCGCCGGGCGGCCGCAGGTGTCGGCTGCCCCGCACGCGGCCGGCGTGAGCGCGAGCGGCCGCGCCGGCCTGGTGACGCGCCAGCCGGCGAGCGCGCCGTCCTCCCCTGCAGCGGAGTCCTGAGGTGGTGCAGCGCTCCCCGCCGACCGCGGCCCGCTCTCTGTGTCTGTGTGGTCCCTCCGTGTGTGGCAGCTGACAAGCAGCTGGCGTCGTTTCTCACCGCTCGGTGCTGGCGGGTCCTGTCTCACCGTCCGGCTCTGATTCGCTGTTTCTCACCGCCTGGTGCTGGCGCGCCTTCTCACCGCCGGGCGCCGACTCATACTCTCTCGCCGCTGGGCGTTGACTCATAGTCTCGCGCTGCCGGACGCTAACTCGTTTCCTCTCATCGGTGGGCGTTGACTCATCCTTTCTCACCGCCGGGCGTGAATTCTTCCTCTCTCACCGCCGGGCGCTCTCTCGTCTTCTCTCACCGCCGGGCGTTGACTCCTGCTCCCTCGCTGCCGCGTGTTGACTCTTGCTCTCGCGCTGCCGCGTGTTGACTCGTCCTCTCTCACCTCCGGCAGCTGATGTACGGCTTCCTGTCGCTGGTGCGCTGGTCGGAGCCGGTGCGATCGCAGGGCGGGCTGGGCGCCGCCGGCGTCCTGCTGGTCACCCTGTCGGTGATGGCCGGCCTCGGCCTCTGCGGCCTGGCCGGCATCCCCTCCAACGCCTCCACTACGCAGGTGAGACCGCGCTCCGGCACGGACCGGCCGGGAAGGTGGCCACCCTGCTCGCGGCCCGCCACGTCCGCTGGGTGTGGCTGCCCGCGCTGACGTGCTCTGTTGACCGTCGCGGGATTATCGTGCTCGCGTGTGTCAGGACTTAGAATAGCTCGGCAGCGCACCGCTGTCCCTCGAGGTGGGTGGTGCCTGGGAGGAGGACGCTGCAGCACGAGATTCTCCAGCCAGGCGGCCGCCACGGCTGCTGGGACCGGCCGCCCAGCCCGGCGTGGCCCGCGGCGCGCCGCCGCCTGCTTACGACGCTAATGACGGCGGCTGTTACATGAATCGTAAAGTAACCAAATCACCATCATCGCCAGCTCCATCAAGCCAGAAACCATTCAGGGCATCTGCCACATACACGAAGGCGCCACGTTGCGGTTGAGTGCGGCCGGAACAGACCGCCCGGGTGGCGATGTAGTTGAAGCAGAGAGCTGCATGGTCTATGTCACAGGCAGCCCACGCGAACGCTGTGGGCGCAGTGCGGCCTCGGTGCCACCGGTCCGACAAGCGGCGCTGACCGTTGCGTCGAGAGGCGTGCCCTCCGCTCCCTCCGTCCGTCCTCCGACACATGACGAGCCCGCATCTAGACCGAATCCCATCTGCTGCCGGCGGGATCAGCCGGGCACTAATGCTCAGTGCCTCATAACGTATCCGCTTCGGATCGCCAGTGCATCAGCGGCGCCACTGACGGCGCGCTGGCCGTGTGGGGCGGTGTAATGGCAGTGCCGCCGCCGCGGCGGTGGCAGCGGCGGCCGGACCGGGCCGCGCCGGGCCGCGCCGGGCCGCACCGCACCGCACCGCACCGCTCCGGTGTGAGGCCGGCCGGCCGCCGTGTCTGCCGGCAGTTGGCGGCGGTAATGTCCGACCAGCTTGGTGGCTGGTCGGAGCGCCGCCGCCGGCCGGCAGCGGGCTGGTTGGAGCGAGCGAGCCCCAGACGGCCGGCCGGCGGGCGGCGGCCGCGATGTCCCGCGCTCCGAGCCCAGCCCGTCCGTGTGGCCAGTGCTGGGACCTCGGCTCCCCTAAACGTTGGGCATCTGTCACTCCACGCCTGTCGTCTTTTGATCGTTAGCATTGGTGCCACGGCTTTTCGTGTGTCGCCAGCACACGCAGCGATTACGCGGACACGTGGTGACTTCCGACCGCCGACCTTCATAGTAGCGTGATTCCGAGCGGTATTCGCCGCGGACAGCGCATCTGGCTTCCCATCAGGGCATCGGGCGCCCACTGAAGCGCCGTTTCCAGTAGGGCCATGTCCGTCTTGCTCGACTCAGCCTTATCTTCGCCGAACTGTCCATGCGCTGACGAGAGAGCGCTGGCTAATTGGCTGTAATTGGCTCACCGGCGGCTAACGAGCTCGTGTCACCACATTTAACAGGGAGATGAGACAAAGAGAAACGGCCTACATAAAACATCCAGGCAGAAAGACGCAAAGTCCACCCACATAAACAACACTACAGAGACATCGGAGTAAGATGAACGTCCACCGAACGGCGTCATCGTTCTCAGGCGCATCATTAACAAAAGTCTGGGGATGTTGAATTAGGACCATGAAACCTGATACGTAAAGCATGGCCTTCTTGAGAAGTACACTTCGTGGAACACTCCGCAGTAGTGAGACCCGGACGGCTGGCTCTGCGCCTGCCATTGGCCCTGCGTGGTGGGGGTCTTCTTAATGCGGCCCGGTCACGAACAGGTGACTGATGTAACCAGCCCGAAACAAGCCATCACGGTCTGAGACGGCGCCATCCCTCGAGCGCTACCCAACCTTGAGGGTGCTTTGAGGAAGGGGGGGGGGGGGCGGCCCCATTCCCGCCCGTCCGGCGCTGGTTCAACTGGCTTGACCTGACCTGACCTGACCTGACTTGCCCGACGCTCAGCCCGGCCTCACCTATCGTCCGCCCTGCGCTGGTTCAACTAGCACAGTCTGACCTGATCTGGTCAGACCCCGTCTTCACTCACCGCCGACCCCAGCTCACGCTGCGTCACTGCCCCAGCCTGACCTGACGACGCCTGCCGCGCCAGCCCGCGCACAGCAGCGTCCGTAACACGGCACCGGTGACCCGGCACGCGGAGCTGTGGCGCGCGCCGGCAGTGACCGCAGCGAGCTGACCCGACCCTCGCTGACCGGCAGATCATACCGTTCCTGGCGCTCGGTCTGGGCGTGGATGACATGTTCCTGATGGCGCTGACCTACTCCGAGTCGGACTTCAGCAACACGCCGCCGCAGGTGAGTTCCCTGCCCGCCCATCCGCCGCCCCCCGCCCTTCCGGCGACTACCCTTCCCTCTCCCTCGGCTGAAGGTTAAGGCGTATTGCGGAGATGCCGCGGCCTAAGTGCGCATATCCCGTATATGTCGAATGATCGGTGCCTTGCGTCGTCCAGCCGCCGGTACTGAGGCAGCGCCGAGTCCAGCTCTGCCACCGGCACTGCGGCAGTGCCGAGCCCAGCCCCATTGGTCCGGTACTGCGGCAGCGCCGAGCCCAGCCCCGCCGCCGGTACCGCGGCCTCGCCGGGCTCGATGTGCCCGCCGGACAGCCGCGGCGCGTCCCAGATGCAATCAGGTGTCGCTGGAATCTGGCCGCCGCGCCGATCCGCCCGATCTGTCGCGCCGGCCGCTAGGGGGGCGAGGGGGGGGGGGGGCACGCGCCCGGCCGGCGGACCGGCAGGCCGGCAGGCTGTTTATTGGCCCGGCCGGGCGGCGGCGGGGAGGGGTCAGCCGCCTGGGTGGTCTCCGCGCCGGCTGTCGTGCCGCTGACGATCCGCTGGCTGCTGGCGCGGCGTGTCAGGCTGGTGGGCCGGTCTCGCCAGCGCAGGCCGTTCGCCGGCTCGGTGCGCGCTCAGCGGGCCGTCCTCTGTTATACGCTGAGAGGAAACCTGGCATGGTGGCTGACCATCTGCATTGTCAGGTGCACTGGTCTTTATAACGTCGACGTTAGTTTAAAGCGATTGTAAAGACATATCTGAAATGTGTCTTGGAAGCGTGTGTATGAAGTTCTTGTTAGGTTAGCACACGAAGAAAACCATGCACTTTATGCACATCAACTGATGGTCGACTTCATCGTTGGACTGCTAAACACTCAAAACAGTACCGGAATGAGTATATGCCATTTTATAAGGATTGAAACAACACCGGTTAAAAGAAACACCGTGACATTGGAAAACGGTCTTGTAAACGTGGCATCTCTGATAGTTCTGTGGGCATCGATCATGTGAAAGTGGTAAGGGACCAGAATGTTTGAACAGTCCTGTTGTTTGCTGTTTTGTCGGTTGGCGCCTCCCCTTGCGGCGACTCCTTGCCTCCGAGCCGGGCGCGCATATTTCGCACACCGCCGGCGGCTGCCGGGGCACCCCTTGTCCGCTGCGAGCGCCCGACTCCGTTAACGTCTTGATTAGCACATTCCGTGGGACGGAGGGACGGCGCGGCGGCGGCGGCGGCGGCGCAAACGGGCCGGCGGCCGCGCCTGTTTGTCGGCCGTGACTGGCGGCGTCCCAGGGCTGGGTCAACACATGGCTCGACTGCCCCGACGCCGCCCGGGCCGTCCTCCGCGCCGCGCCGGCAGGGGGCGCCCTTCTGGCCTTCCAAGCCGCGCCGTCCGGGGACGGCGGGGGGGGGGGGGGGGGGCGCCGCGCGCCGCGAAAAATGCTCGCCGTCTGGGCGACGTCAGTGTAATTCACTGCGGGTGTCAATATCGGCCGGCGGTGGGTGGTCGGCCCGGCCCGCCGCCGGTGACCGGCCCGCCCCTCGCCGCCGCACACAATGGCGCGCTGACGACGCCGAGCGGCGGTAACGCGCCGTCGGACGGCCGACCGGGCCGCCAGTGGCTTCATCACAACCGCGCCGCTACTGTTGGCCGGTTTTTGTGCCTCTTCGGAGGCGAACAATGGCGGCGTTTTTCTGTTTTGTGTCTGGTTATGCGCTGCAGCGGATGAGACGTGACGTCAGAGGCTGACTCCGATGACGCTGTTGCAGGAGCACGTCGGGGAGGTGCTGAAGCGGGCCGGCGTCAGCGTGCTGCTGACGTCCCTCTGCAACGTCATGGCCTTCATGTCGGCCGCCATCTTGCCCATCCCAGCGCTGCGGTACTTTTCGCTTCAGGTAATCGGTCGGGCCTCGGCTAGCGGAGGGAGATAAAAAAACAACGTGAAGGACGCGGCGTCCTGCCACCTCGATCAGCAAAAAAGATAGCCAGATTACATGCGCTCGGGGGTGAGACACGGTCCGCCGGTGTAATTACCATGTCATCGCCACTTCTGATGGGCGTGTCAGACAGCGAACACATCGCAGGAGAACTGCCAGACCCCCTTGAACTGATCTTGTTTGGTGAGCGTGTCTGCCGGCGTTCAGACCTCTTTATAACGCTGAACACAGTGAAGTGATAGGAGCTGTGCACAAATCCAAAGTTGTGGATCTCGAGAACAAAAGTCTTCCTTAAATCGATCCATATATATATATATATATATATATATATATATATATATATATATATATATATATATATGTATATTCATATATGCATACATATACATATATACACACAGATCCATATATATATATATATATATATATATATATGTATATTCATATATGCATACATATACATATATGCACACAGATCCATATATATATATATATATGTATATATATATATATATATATATATATATATATATATATGGATCTGTGTGTATATATGTATATGTATGCATATATGAATATACATATATATATAGTAGGTAACCACTTGTGCTTACCTACTCCCTCTGCTTAACGGACACGGAGCATGTTCACTGCACCTAGTGTAACATAAGTTAAACATGTTGGTGTAGCATGCGATTCTGCACACCGTGGACAGATGCTGCGTTTTTAGCCAGACTTTTCGAGACGAATGGTCAGCTAACCATCGGCGAATGACATCAACGTGTGCCGTTGGCAGGCGGGCGTCCTGATCGCCTTCAACGTGCTCTCCATCCTGCTGATCTTCCCGGCCATGATGAGTCTGGACCTGCGGCGGCGGCGGGGGCGCGTGTATGACGTCATCTGCTGCTGGTCCGAGGCGCCGCCTCAGGAGGGGCCGACCGTCGAGCCGTCCCCGCCGCCACCGCCGCCACCGCCGCCTGTTCCGCCGGCCGCCTCGCCGGCCGCTCGCCCCGCCCCGGCCCCGCCGCGCGACTCCAGCGAGCTGGCGACGTGCCCGAGTCAGAGTGCGTCGGCGGCGAGCCGGCTGGCGTCGGCCGAGTCGCTGGACTCGGTGGGCTCGCGCGGTCCGCTGGTGGCGACGCGGGGCCGGCCGCCGCTGGCCGGCGCGCTGTTCTGCGCGGAGGGGCGCGGCCAGTGCGGCCGGCTCGGCCTGCGCCGGCTGGTGCGCCGCCACTACGCCGGCTGGCTGGTGCGCCGGCCGGTGCGGCTGGCCGTGCTGGCCGCCTCGCTGGCGGCAGCCGGCGCCGCCGTCTGGGGTGTCTGTCAGCTGCGTGACGGCCTCGACCTCACCGACGTCGTGCCGCGCCGCTCCGACGAGTTCGCCTTCCTCGACGCACAGCGGCGCTACTTCGGCTTCTTTGAGATGGTGGCTGTGACGCAGGGCAACCTCGAGTACCCGACCAACCAGCGCCTGCTCCACGAGTACCACCAGGCCTTCACGCGAGGTGCCGAACATCGTGAAGAACGATGACGGCGGCCTGCCCGACTTCTGGCTAGGCATGTTTAGGGACTGGCTGCTCGGTGAGTGTGTTCTTCTGATGGGGGCTGGGCTGCTCGGAGTGTCAGACCGCCGTCTGCCCGTCCGCTGGGGCAGTTCCCGAAGGCCTGTGCTGCCTTCTGATGGTCGATGCATACGCAGATTGTGGATCAGATCAGATCAGATCAGATCAGCTCGGATCAGAGTTTAGGCACCGTGACACAGTCCGGGCCATTAACTAACAGTCTGCCCGAACCCCTGCAAATGTATACTTGCTGCCGAGCCTGACATTTCTTCCTGCATTGTCCCTCGTCCAACACCAGAAGAATGATGATGACGTGACGCCGGGGACGTGGTACGGTGGGAGCCGCCCTGGTCACCGCCGCCCTGGCACAGCGCCTCCGAGATGTGGCACCGGTCAGCCACTAACCCGTCCCGCTCTGGCGGCAGGCCTGCAACGGGCGTTCGACCGCGACTGGGCGCTGGGCCTGATCGACCGCGAGCGCTGGTCCCGCAACGCGTCCGACGAGGCCGTGCTGGCCTTCAAGCTGCTCGTGCAGACCGGCCGCGTCGACTACCCGATCGACAAGTCGCTGCTGCCGCACGTGCGCCTCGTCGAGGACGGCATCATCAACCCCAAGGCCTTCTACAACTACCTGACGGCGTGGGCGTCCAACGACGCGCTGGCGTACAGCGCCAGCCGCGCCCAGCTGCGCCCCGAGCCCCGGCAGTGGCTGCACGTGGCCTCCGACGTCGAGCTGAAGATCCCCAAGTCGCAGTCGCTGGTGTACGCGCAGCTGCCGTTCGCGCTCAGCGGCCTCTCCAGCACGGAGAGCATCGTGGAGACGATCGAGCAGGTGCGCCGCATCTGCCGCCGGTTCGAGGCGCGCGGCCTGCCGAACTTTCCCAGCGGCGTGCCGTTCACGTACTGGGAGCAGTACGTGAGCCTGCGCTTCTTCCTGGCGCTGGCGCTGCTCTGCGTGTTCGTGGCCGTGTTCGTGGTCATCTCGGTGGTGCTGATGAACGTGTGGGCGGCCGGCGTGGTGGTGTTCGTCATCGGGCTGACGGTGCTGCAGCTACTGGGCGTCATGGGCTTCCTTGGCCTACGGCTGAGTGCCGTGCCTGCCGTCATCGTCGTCATGGCGGCCGGACTCGGCGTCCAGTTCACCGTCCACATACTGCTGGTGAGTCCCCAGTTCACCGTCCACATACTGCTGGTGAGTCCCCAGTCAACCGTCCACGTGCCGCTACAGCGGCCCCGGTCCGCTGGAGACGTGGCCTGTCTGACTCCGAGATACTACCGCCGACGGGCGGCGCTGGAGGCTTGGTGGCATGCCAGACATGCTGGCAATGGTACGCGACACGCTAGACTGCGCTGTGTATGTGACCAATTCACCTGTTTGCGAATGCCAGCCCCCCGATGGTCGTTCGAATTACAGCTGTCGTCCGTCGGTAACTATACCGTGTTTTGCGCGTGTTAACGCCAATTGCACAGCTTAGTTTCTCTAAAAGCTTCGTCCGCGCCGCCTTGAGGGTGCTCCTCCTTTCATTGGTCACTCCCGTCAGTTCTAAAGTGCGTAGATCTGTTGGATCTGCCGGCCGTGATGCCGGCTCTTCTGGCGGCCGGGTCCCTGACGTCGTCCCCCGCCGCCGAGACCTGCGGCGCGCCCCGCCCGCTCCCCGGAGCAAGCGATCGGCCCGCCCGCTCCCCGGCTCAAGCGATCGGCCCGCCCGCTCCCCGGAGCAAGCGATCGCCCCGCCCGCTCCCCGGCGCAGCGATCGGCCCGCCCGCTCCCCGGCGCAGCGATCGGCCCGCCCGCTCCCCGGCGCAGCGATCGGCCCACCCGCTCCCCGGCGCAAGCGATCGGCCCACCCGCTCCCCGGTGCAAGCGATCGGCCCACCCGCTCCCCGGCGCAGCGATCGGCCCGCCCGCTCCCCGGCGCAAGCGATCGGCCCACCCGCTCCCCGGCGCAGCGATCGGCCCGCCCGCTCCCCGGCGCAAGCGATCGGCCCACCCGCGGCGGCGCCCAGATACCATCTCCTGCCCGGCCCGACACTTTGTCGCCGACAAAAACGAGCTGAGCGCGGCCGGCCGGCGATTTGACGGCGGCGACCCCTGCGACACGCGGCCCGGCCGCCCTGAAAGGCTTTTCGTGTATGGGGGTCCGGTCCGTGACGGGTCGTGACGGAGCTGATGGCCGCTAGGGTGGAGCGGAGCACGGACCAGGCCCGAGGCGGCGCCCTTCGTGCGACGGCGCGGCGCATGTCGCTGCCGTGTGACATCGCTTGTCTCGTTCGTCTCGGCCCGGTGCTGGCGCGACGGCCGGGCGCGGGCCGGCGTGCAGGAGTGTCTGACCCGGGCCGTTTGCAGGGGTTCCTGACCAGCCTGGGCGACCGGGTGGCGCGGGTGCAGCGCAGTCTGGAGCTGATGTTCCAGCCGGTGTTCCATGGCGGTGTCTCCACGTTGCTGGGGGTGCTCATGCTGGCCTTCTCCGACTTCGACTTCATAATCAGGTGAGCGGCGGCGCGCTGACGGCGGCGTCGGCCCGGCCGCGGCCTGCCGTTGTTCGGTCGGCACGGGACGCGGGCCAATATCAAACGCGCCGACCTTTTTGCCGCGGAAACCAAGCCGTCCGCGCAATTAACCGGGCCATGAATCACTGAAAGCGGATTATTGTATCGCGGGCCGGTGTTTTTTGCTCAGCTCGGAGCGCTGCTCGACGATTAAGCTCGCCGTGTACGTGTACGCCCCCTCCCCCTTCTCTCTGTTCGCATCGCGGTAGGGGGTGTCAAGGGCGCGAGCGGCGCTCATCGGCGCGGCTCCGGCCGCTCACCCCCATCTCCACCGGCACACGCGGCGTCTCGGACGGCAGCGCGCGGTCTTGCCAGGCCAGGCTGCGTTTGACGCGGGCAGCACCTGGAGGACTTCTCGGGTCGGTCGTCAGGTCCAAGACGCCGTAACCGTGCACTTCCGCTAGAAGGCCGGATCTCTGGCGGGACGGCTGCCTCTGGATCCTGTCTCCAGCAGCGTCTCGCCCTGCGCTGCGGGCGTTGCTGGGCTCGGACGCGGCGGTCGGCCGGCGCTGCGCGAGCTCCGCGCAGCTGCTGACGGCGCCCGACCGAACACGGCGGACGTACCGGTCTCGGCACCGTGGGCTGCCAGATGTTCAGTCGTGACCACTTGCGCGCCGGGCTCCTGGTTTTTGCGACCCCTTTTGCTAAGTGGTGGACTTTGGTCACTGAAGCAGCGCGCTTCTGGTATTCGGACGGCATCGAGCAAAAACGGCCGGTGTCCCGGCGCTCGCGGTGCTTCTTCGACCACTTCGCTGTTCAGCGGAACGTTCCGTTCGTTTCCGCGGTGGTCCCATGGATGTGCGTTGTCCGGTCACGAACTGAGCCTGGGGCCGCTGTGCAGGCCTCCGGCACAGCCCTCTGACCTCGCCTGACCTGGGGGACGTGCGCCAGGGTGACCTCTGTAGGTACACGGTGACGGCTCCGGTCATAAGCTACTGACTCTCAGCACCGCCGTGCCGCTCTCGGAGGCGTGTTTCCTTCCCCGGGGTCCCTGGCTCGGCGGGGGCCACATGAGCCGGGTGCCGGCTGCCAGGCCGCAGTCCTGTCTGAACGGCCGGGCCGCCGGCGTCCGGTCCGCGCCCTGACAGGATGGGGCGTGGGGTACGGCGACGTTTTTGTGGTCGTGTAGCTGAGTGGTGTAAGGGTCGCCACGGGTCAGCAAGAGAGGTCCGCGCTGCCATTTTGGACGTTGCATGTTAAGTGCCTTGTCTGGGCTCTCCCCTTTACGTCGTCTCTGGTGTCTCCCCGTCTGGTCTCGTTCCATCCCCACAAATGCATCTGATCTCGAGACACTGGGTCTAGCCTTTCCGTTGGCGGGACGAGCCTGTGCTGGCCGCTGACCGGTCGCACTCCTCGGCCGGTGCCGCCGTCCGTGTCCCCGGGCAGCCCGCTCCTCCATTCAAAACGCGGCGCCCGAGCTAATGTAAATCCGGCCGGGAGGCTGCAGCCGCCACCGACCACCCACCGCGCCGGGCACGCCCCAATAACGGCCGCGCGGAGCACGCACCAATAACGCCAGCGGCGTACGGACGCGGCGCCGCTGCCGTCACTGGAGGCGGCTGCTGAGAGCCGGCCGGCCGGCGCGGTGCCGGCGGCGGCGGACGATCCGGCGGCGGCGGCGGCGGCCATTGTGTCGGCCGGTCATCAATACCGGCCCTGTCGCGCGGCACGCACCCACCGCGCCGTAAATTAGCGTTGCGCGGACGCAGCCGGCGGGCGACAGCGGGCGGCCCTGTCTGTCGACCGCCAGCCGGGTCGGCTCTGCGACGTTCCCATCAGCGTCCGCGTCTGTCCGCTGCCTCCGCGTGTGTCCCTGTCACGGCCCTGCTGCTCGTCGCGTCGCCCCCCCCCCCCCATCTGTATCTTGTGAGCGGCCTGCCGCCGGGTGTGGACGCCCGACAGCTCCCCTGACCGCCACCCCGTCCGTTGCAGGTATTTTTTCTGCGTGCTGGCGTCACTGGTGCTGCTGGGCCTGGTGAACGGGCTGGTGCTGCTGCCGGTGCTGCTGTGCTGGCTGGGGCCGCCGGCCGAGGTGCGGCCGGCCGGTGGCGGGGACGTGCTGGCGGCGCCCAGCCCGCAGCCGTCGCCGCCGCGCGTGCGCGGGCCGCGCGTCTACCGCTCCTCCTCGCTGGCCAAGCCGGCGGCCAAGCGTCTGAAGCCGGCGCCGAGCCGCCTCAGCCTGAGCACCATCTCGGAGGAGTCGTCCGGCTCGCAGGCGTCGGCGGGTCGCGCCGGCCGGCACACGCACGACATCGTGGTCGAGCCACAGGTGGTGGTGGAGACGTGCTGCCCGGCCGGCGGCCTCACCGCCACCGTCACCGCCACCACCCACGTCAAGGTGGAGGTGCACGCGCCGCCGGCCAGCACCGTCGCCGCCGCGGTGCCCAGGCCGGCCCGCTGTCGGCCGCCGGACGCCACTGCGCAGTGTTCAAAGTAGGGCGCCGCGTCCGCCGCCGCCCGCCAGCCGAACAGTATTGGCCGCGCCCGCCGGGCCGGCCCCAGCTCAGACACCGCTCCTCTGGAATCGTACCTCCCCGGCTTGTTATTTATTAGTGTTCCGGTTATTTATTCTGTGCCCCGGTGCGTGACCTCTGCTGCGCCCGGTCTGGGACGACCAGCAGTCGGGGCCTGTGTTGTGCTAGGTCTGGGACGACCAGCAGTCGCCCGCCCACTCAATCCTTTTGTTGTTGCGTGTATATACATATGCGAATTGTTGTATTAGTGCCGATGTGACTTTGTATAAAAATGCGATGCAAGAGCACAACTTCTTTCGATGGATGTACGCGCACGGTTGTTTTGCGCGCAACGCTTCTGATCAGACGCAGTGGAGCTGATCTTCCTGTCTGGCCTTGTGCAATCCCCTGCAAGAACACTTCATCTCGTGGCATTCAGTGAACTCCGGTCGTTGGCGGGCACGGCGTGCGCCGGGCGGCTGATGGTCGTCCGATGTGGCCGCTCGTGTCCCCCGGCCCGCTCGCACCTCCATTAAGGTGCCCACGGCGTCTGCACAGAACGCTAACGTCGATTGATCAAAGCAGCGTCATTGGAAACGCTCCCTGGTGCGCTCGTGCTATTGGGGTTCGACGGCGCACTCGAGGGCTTGGGTCGTTGAGCGTCAAAATTTCCCGCAACGGGTTCAGCGAGGACATGAAGCTCCTGGCCAGCAGCCACGCTCAGTTCCCACGCCAAACCGCGGTGGGGTCGACGCTTTCCCTGCTGAGCTGCGTTGTCCCTCAGGTAGTACACTGGGATCTTCATAAACACCATGTGCCAAGAGCTATCTCGAGTTTCTGACACTAGCAGTTACAAAACTGTTCGAAGCGAGGTCAACCTTCCCACCAGGGCCCGTTGAAAACAGACCCCACTCGAGCGGTGGTTCGCCACCGTCGTCTCGCACGATGAGGCGACCCAAGAAGTTGCGATGCATTTTCGTCGTCTGACGTTTGTTTGCCGTCGTCTGGCGTTTTATCTGTCGATTTCCGTTCTGAGCACGGCCACTGAGGGTTTAGGCCACTTCCGTCCAGAACCGAAGTGATACGGCGGATAGCGCAGTACTACTGTGGGGTTATTGCAAGAGGCAGGCAATAGTATGCATGCCATGATACGGTGCAAGCACGCCACTTCTGCACATGAATGGCATTTATGTTGAAAGCTGCAGCCGAAACATTCCTCCGTTTTTCGAATCTTGGGAGGCGCTGCTGCCCGTTAAGCAGAGCGTTGTGTCCAGTACAGTCCGGTACAGCGACACCAACGATGGTGTGCAAGCAATCAAGCGCGCCGCGTACACCTGGTGGCAGAATGATGTACTTGAACATAGGTGGCGCTACCATCCGCTGTCAAACGGTTTAGTTCCCCGGGCGTCCGGGAGAGCGGCCCGACTCTGTTGGAACGCCTCAGCTGACGGCGTCTCCGCACTGCGCACACGAAAGCTGATATGGTGCCCGGTACCAGCTAACCCGTGGGAATCGGCGAGCAGGTGCATGACGAGTATTTGTCAGCGGCTGGATGTAGCTCGGACCTGAGTGGTGGCTGGAAGAATGGGTCAAACAGATGCCATCAGTGGATGCCTGCGGGCCTGGCACAGTGTCAGCTGGAGGCGGGATCGCCGCCGACACTGCCGACAGTTCGCCGCGGGACGGCCAGAGCGACCCCTCCCCCTCCGTGCTGGCACGCCCTCGCGTCGGCCGCTGGCCTGCACAGCGGCCCCGCAGTCCGCCGCCCACAGCGGATATCAGGCGTCGTGCTCACCGAACTGAAGTAGCCGTCGGTGTTCTGCCCGCGTAAACGGCACACGTTCAGAGAAACAGATACGGATGAAACAAAACTGTGCCTGTGGCCAGACCTCACCAGCGCCACAGGAGTGTCGGCAGTACCTTCCCAAGGATAGCTATGTGGCGTTTCAGAACCTTATACAACAATGTTGACGGCCGTAGATTTGATTACTACAGGAAGTTCGTCGGGTTGTGCGTTCTCAAGGACCAAGTGTTCAAGCTCATTGGCAGCAGTAGTTCACTGCTGTATTGTACACAGCTGCAAACATCTTTGTGCGAATTGCTTTCGGTCACTCCCCTACAGGTTTCATCTGCCTTACCGACCGCGGTACAGTGCACGCTCTATCCCCCGCGCACCTACATCACACACATGCACACAAGCATGCGCGGCTAGAACGCACGCCTCCAGTCCCGTCTGGCACGGCAGCAGCGGCAGCGGCGGCGGCGGCGACGGCGGGGGCGGTGACGCGATGCCGGCCGCAGCGACCCGTGACGTCAGCCGACGCCGCGCTGGGGCGGCCGGTCGCCGGCTCTGGGCGGCGGTCCGCTCCAAATGCTCAGCTGCGGGACCGGACCCTGTAACAGCACGATCACCGGGCGGCAGATGACGGCCGACATACTGAGGCGGACGCAACGCAACGCGTCACTGCTGCGCTAACCACCAGGTGGCAGCACGCGGGCGGCGCGCGCTGAAATGGCGCTGGCGAGCCATGCACGGAAATCTCACTCGAAATGAACCTTAAGCAAGGCAAATATATATATATATATATATATATATATATATATATATATATATATATATATATATATATATATTGCCTTGCTTAAGGTTCATTTCGAGTGAGATTTCCGTACATGGCTAGCCAGCGCCATTTATATATATATATATATATATATATATATTATATATATATATATATATATATATATATATATATATATATATATATATATATATATATATATATATATATATATATAGTCCCTTGTCCATGAGAAGCAGGGTCGTTGGAGGGCTTTACCATCTCCTCAGCGTAATGTCAGAAACGTGCCGTACAGTGGTATCAGGGTTCACACTACTCCCGCCCTGCTATGCTGACCTGCCATGATGCCTCCAGCGTCCTCTGTCAGGATCTGACTACCCCAGCTCGATGGGAGGTGGACCGGCCGTCAGCCCAGGTACGCTCCATGCAAGCCCGAGCCCGGCTGGCAGGGATAGTTCACACACGCCACCAGCGCAGGCCGGCAGGGTGAGCGGAGGGAGCGGGTCACAGAGGGACACCAAGCCAACCACGCAAGCGCGTCTAGCGCGAGCGTCGTCACGGCTCGGGCACAATGGGCATGCAGCCACACCCCACCAGGCCCGCATGCAGAGAAGACGGTCAACGTCTGGGACGCGGCGCGCCACGGAGGCACACAGACAACATGCAGGTAAGCATGGCATGCCACTGGAGCAAGAGTCCGCGCGTTCTCGGGAAGGGCGGCACGGGTTGCAGCGCACCCCCGGCGGCCATGACCAGAGCCTATGCATGGGAGCAAATAGAGCGAGTACGCCCGCCTCGGTTCAAGAGTTGATTCAGCTTAGTGTAAAACCAATGAATAAACACGTGCCAGGTCGCGAGGCCTCCTGATGAATGTTTCCTCTCGCCAGGCGCGGCAGAGCTATCGGCGGGTGGAGGGGCGCATTCGCCGAGCGGTTTCTGCTTCCGATATTCTTAGAAAAGCCTGCAATGACCGGGCCCCATCCTCAATTCTTAAGGCAAGGAACTTGCTACAAAAATGACTGTCCTTATAAAGTGTCCCGAAAGCATGCACTGATGTTAGAATGCATGCACAACACGCATCTCGCGGATTCTACCTCCATTCAAAACCACAGAACTCCACCAAGCTGCCGGTGCAACCTCTCGTTGACAAAAAGTGCAAAACTGCTGCCATCGAGCAAAAAAGTCGAGCTAATAACTGGTGGAGAGAGTTCGCCTACCTGAGGGTCGCGTGGTGACACTGGCTTCGGGACGGGCTTCTCAGTCAGTATGGCGCAGCACAGGTCTTCACCGGCAGCAACCACACGGCCGGCTTCGTGGGTGGAGACAAGAACAAACACGACACAGGAACAAGGAATACAGCGGTCTCCATCAGGTTCCAGCGCAGTGATTTTGCAGCTTAACCCTCGCCCTGATTTGCTGCTTTTCTTATCGCGGGCTGATAGCGGGGATAGTTGATGTACCCCCCCTCCCCAGCGTTTCCAAAGTAATGAAGATGGAGCTTAGCGGAAAACATCACTCGAATGGTTTTAACAAGATCGTGCAATCTGTACCCGTTTGTTTGTTGTCAAGTTGATAATTGACCTCATGGCACATTAAACGTAGTTTTCCAGAAAGCCGTGCTTTTCCACTTCATGCTATACTTATGAGACTACACCTTGTGACGACACGCAACTTGAGCAGGCATGTTCAGGCATGTTAAACAGGCCTGCATGTTTTGGATACACATTTATGATAAATAGCTCCGTTAATGTAACAATGTTGGCCCGCCGCGCGCTTTCCGCAGCATCTTCGGTTGCCACCAGCCCGCCCGCTAAGACCCTGGACCAACGTGCAGTCTAAAACCGCCGCTGCTCCGAAACCAGTAAAGCTGGAAACACGTTTGTGGTCTTGAAGTACGCGCAACGAATGTCGGACAGGCTCCTGAAAATTTCGGCGCGACTGAAAAATATGCCGGAGAGGTATTCTTAAAAAAACCTTAGGGTGGGGTTGCATCTATCCACCCCCCCCCCCCCCCCCCTACCTTATCAGGCCGAGGGTTAACAGGGGGACAGGGTGGACAGGACAGGACAGGGGACGCCTTTAAGCTGTCGAGAACACGAGGCGACATCCGGATTGAAACGAAACAACTTCCGCCTGGACACGAACACGGGCAGCGACACGCGCGGCTAGACAACCCAGTATCCTCGACTGGCGATATATTTCAGTCTGGCAGAGCTACGCTCCTCTACACGTGGTCGGCACCACAACCGTTACCCGACGACGCGTCAACGCAGCACGGTCTCATCGAGTTTGTGAGTGTTTGTATTGCTTTACCTCTACCGTTCAGAGCCAGAACTCAGTACCAGGTATGCTCTTATTGTAAGATACTACTAATATATCCACACGCATATAGGACCCACTCGTAACCTTTGTCCCGCAACAACACGCATTTGAGCTATCCAACCAGAGTAACAGGTTCTAAATAAACTTCAGAATAATCCACGCCGCATGGCTGAAGGGCATCATGTGCAGACGTGCGATGTAAGGCAGCTACTTCGACAATCCCACCTCAATGCTCCAACATGAATTGGTAAAAATTCGAATCCAACGACAAAAGGCTTCTAAAAAAGCGACCAACATCCGCTGCAGATGGAAGCAACCAGCCTGCCTTGAACAACCCGGCCGTGACGACCGTACACGTCAACAATTTGCAGTCAAACGACCTCTGAGCATTAAAAATAAGTAGTCGTTAGACCGAGCCAATACAAGGCCACAACAGCGCGCCAACCGCACACATGCGGCTGGGCTGTACCTCATATTATGCCTCCGCGCCAGTCAGCTGGATGGGTTAGTCAGATCAGGCCTCCCGAACAGCCATCGGCGACGCACGCTCACACGGGATATAAGCTCACAACTTGAGACCCCGCTTAGCCTGCTCAACGGCTGAACAGTCGCAGCCCCCACGAATGACGAACACATCCGTACAAAGCACGCGACAAGAAAGCATGCTCGCTCGCACGCACGCACGCACGCGTGGAGGCGCAGTGAGACCCGCCGCCTATCCAAACCGACCTTTCCATGCGCCGTCAACAGAAGCCACCGAAGCACGCCGCGACCTCGCGTCCCGGCCGTCGTGGGGGCCAGAGCGGTGGCGACGGTGTTGGCGGCGCGGGTCGGGACCGGCGTCGCTAGGGCCGGACTTGCGGGGACGGACAAGGGCGGAGCGGCAGATGCAGACGGAGACACAGACCCAGACGGACGCAGGCAGACACGCGACATCACAAGGCACGGTCCTGGACACACGAGGCCCGGCGGACCGCCCACCCGCGCCAGCCTCGGCCGGCTGGTCACGCTCCGAGCGGCGGCCAAGGCAGGCAGTGGTTCGGCGGCCGGCCACCAGGCAGCGGCAGGACGCCCTAGCGCGCCCCGCGGACGCCACAGACTACGGGCCGGGAGCGAGCGCCGGGTTACAGGTACGTGTCGCGCGTCTTGCGCGAGTACCTTTTCTCGTCTTTGATCTTCTGGCGGGCGGCGTCGATGAGTGAGGCGGTGGGCACACCGGAAGGCGGCTCCACCAGCTCGGGCTCCGACTGCAGGATGCTCTCCGCCTCGGCTGCGGAGAGGGCGGGACATCAGGGCTGCCGGCGCGCGGCAGGCCGAGAGGACGGACCAGGCATCAGGGTCAGCAGTACGCCACATGGACGCGCTGGATCAGAGGCAGGCATCCCACGGGCAGCAACATGACGGGTGTACACGATGGAGGAGGAACGGAGACATAGCAGGGGAAATTAAATCAGCTACAGTTACTCAGTGATACATCAACCCAAGACAGAGGTGGTAGTGGAATCTCAGGTTATTGCGACATACTGCATACATCATATCCCAAAAAGCTACACACTGCGAAATAGAGTCGACAGCCCCAAGACAATGAAACCTCCTTCGCGGCTTTCATGCGTGCATGGCTGCTTCAGCACTGCCTGCTGCAATCCCCGATGACGACCGATGCGGGAATGGTGAAACACAGCAGAAAGCGTATGTCGCTGCGAGTCATCAACTATGGTCATCAGTAAACCATCAGAACAATCAGAAATCTGCCTCTACAGCTGGCACTTAGAGCTCCTTCAGCAGGCTGCAAGGGCGGTACAGCATACTGTTTATAAATCAAGCTTAACAGACACTGACCACTATTTTATTCGTTCCGCATGCATAAAAATCTAAAGCAGAAAAGTAAAATGCTCTGTGCTTGGGTCATATCTAAGAATCATAGGGTGATATATCAGAGGGTGCACATCACCTTCTGGGCCTTGAATCTCGTGCACACACAAACAAAGCACGTTAAATTTCTTTTGATATCTACATCTTCCAAGTTAATGACGGTTTTGTCCATCTGTCCGGCCGGTAAGACCCTAAAGATGCCAAGGCCAAAATCGATTGCAATGGAGGAGAGAAGTGAATGCAAAAGAGGACAGATGAGATCACAGCCGCGGAATCGGCAAAGTCTATACCAGATGACTCCAGTCTATTCCCGGGGTTCAGATATATGCGTTTCAACAGGACAACGACAAAGTGCTTGGAAAACGCCTTCAAAACCATCTTTCACTTTCGCAAGACTACCTCACGCCATACCGGCGCCATGCGGCAACACAGAAGTGTGGTATGGCAGCGTGCCATGTGGCGAAGCGGCTCTTTTAGTCGTGTTGAGTCACAGCTACATCCGCAGCTCTGCCGGATATTGAGCTACACCGCCCTCCGCACGAGCTGCTGGCTGGAGCCGGAGCTGCTGGCGACAGTTTCCGAGCGGCAGGGCAGACGCCGGCGGCCAGGCGAGGACCCGCCCAAACGGGGAGGTCTGCTGAGAGGGCAGCACCAGCGACCCGAGCTACCTCACCAGCAGACGCAGTGACTCACCTCTGATGCGGGTCAGCTTGGTGCCGTACGCCAAGTCGGCCTGGTACCCCACGATGAACGCCAGCGGGAAGAACGGGAACAGCGCCGTCCGGTTCTTGGTGCGTCGGGCCCTGCACCACACGCAGTCGTTACGTTCTCGCTGACATCACTGGGTACGGCAGTCGCGTCGAGCGCGCATCACACAGGACAGTGGCGTCGAGCGCGCGCATCACACTGGACGGCAGCACTGAGCGCGTGCAGCACACAGGACAGTAGCGTTGAGCACGTGCAGCACGCAGGACAGCAGCGCTGAGCGCATGCAGCACAGGACAGCAGTGCTGAGCGCGCGCATCACGCTGGACGGCAGCGCTGAGCGCGTGCAGCACAGGACAGCTGTGCCGAGCGCGCGCATCACATTGCACAGCAGTGCTGAGCACGTGCAGCACACAAGACAGCAGTGCTGAGCGCGTGCAGCACGCAGGACAGCAGCGTTGAGCACGTGCATCACGCAGGACAGCAGCGTTGAGCGCGTGCAGCACACGGGGCGGCAGCGTCGAGCGGTCTTGCTGCACGCAAGCAGCATAACCGTCTGCTGATGGCGCAGAAGTGCGCTAACACGGAAAACTCGCGACACAACACTCTGGCTATGATGGGAATAACATGCAGTTCTTACGCTGCCACAGCTCCGACAAAGCCGACCACGTAGAATGTCGCCCACCAGTAGAACATCTCTCGTGCCCGGGCCAGTTCCATTGCCTGCATCCTCCGCCGCATCTGATCCTGCATGTGGATCTGCCGCTCCAGCTACCATGGTAAAAGGATCAAAGTTTGGATTAATGGTTTGTAGTCTGTCTGCATTTGCTATACTACATCAGCATTGTTGGCAACACAAATTGTAGTGAGGAGTGCACTGATAACAATTCCATGAGCATAATGAAAACTTGGAGCTCCCTTGGAGAACAATGGCATGCCACTGTAAATAGTATACAAAGGTTTGCAGTAATTTTCAACACATTCATTTCTCTATATCACATTATGTCTGTCAAGCCATTGCTCTAACATCCATTTCAACCCACAAATGCTTACCTGAACACCTTGCATCTCAATCATGAACTTCTTGTGTTTATTGAAGTTCTCCTCCATTGCTTTGCCCATTATGTTACCCATGGCTGGCAGCTATATGAAAACTGAAAAAATGTAATGTCATGAAGATGTCAACAACCTTATCACCTCAGTAACTTGGACTCAATCATTGGTTTGCTTCCTCTAGGCATTCAATGCCAATAGCATGGTCTGCTGTTCTGTTCATTTACCTCAATCAGTAAAATGTTCTTAGATATCCTACTGATAACATTTTGCCAAAACATCAGCATGCAGCTATCTCCAATTTATTACCAATTCTGGCTCAGACTGTGGAAACTTGGAAAGACTGATTCTCCTCTACAAGAGCCAAAACAAATTATTTGGACTTACTCTACAGTTCTAGATGAATCAGTTCAGTGCATGTAAGTGCATCAATGACAACCACAAACAGGCATGAGAAATTTGGAGCCAAATGTACAATGTGCTTTTGTTCATTAAACATATCTTAAGCAATACCTGTGTTGAGAAATGCATGCAAGATCTAAGAACACCTTACTTTTGCAGCACTAAATTTCCTCTTCTTTTCAGTTTGCCCACATCCATCCTGAATACAACACTTTTGCATGCAAAGGTATTATCATTTGAATAGTAATGGTGTGCCTGCCACACACAAAATAATGCTTACCCATTATCTTCTAGATTTTAAAAAGACACAGGGCTCAGAATGTGGTTTATTTCTTTAAATTCATTTGATAAATCATTCAAAAGCTTAAGAAACTACAGCAGGGTATCTAGATCAGATTATCTTGAACAGGTACCTGCATGCCATGCCATCAAGAAGTAGTAAATGTTGAATATTTGGTTTCCATTAAAGGCATAAAGTCAACTCATTGGGCACACAGGTACATCTTGAAACACATCATTAAATAGAACAAAAAAAAAACAACAAATGCATGGTTAAGCCTCAGTCTGCCAAAATCTTGGCAAATTTAAATGACCCTACAAATGAAAGTCATCAAAATACATATTGGGGCAGACTTCCACAATTTGGGGTAAAAATTGCCACATAGGAGACTCTTACACTATCTTAGAGCAACTCATGTTGCCCTAGGATTCAAATGGTTAGAATATGCTGAGAAAAGGTCAAGGTTCAGGCTCCCCAAACATTTTCACATCCAGTCATGGTTTGCAGATCGGGTTGAACCAAGACACCCAAGAGACAAATTGCTTCTATAACCACCAAACTGCGGTTACACTGCAGATTCATCTCAACCACACTTAAAATTGTCCCTATTTCGTCTCTACCCTCCCAATCACCTGAACAAGAGGTACAAACCACACGCCCCCACAGCTGGCTTGTTCCCGTCAGTATTGGGGGCCACAGGGAAGTGTAGCTTTTGCATTTGCTAGTAGTGGCCTCATCTTGACGTCATTGGAAGGCTGTCGCGGGGCATTGTAACTTTAATATAACTCAGTGCCCATTTGCAACCATTGTCAAGTGAGGGATTGACCCGGGGATGAGGTCTCACAAAATGAGCTGGGGGGAGGGGGGAGGGGCTGAGCAGTGAAGAATTACCCATTCTAGCCCCAAAATATGCCAACAAGCAGGTTTTCCACTAGATTTGGCCTACTTTCTTCCCTAACTTGGATGGGCTGGAAGGCCACGCCGCTGGGTTGACCGCTTTAGCCGGGTTGGCCGCGACTACCGTGTCCTTTACATGTTAGAAGCCTACGAATCCTGACAATGTATTACTGCCAATAGTAAAACTATTTTGTAGACAGCGGATGGACTTCTGATCCAGCTGAGATGCAGTGTCCTGGTCTGCCCTTCCTGGTGCGTGTGGGGGGGGGGGGGGGGCAGACCATACCCAAGTTAGCCGCTTCCGGAGTGAAACGTTCAGGCCTACCGTTTGTTAGAGGGGAGAGTGCAGAGCCCGCGTCTGCCGCTGCGGGTAAGTAAATTGCGGCGCCTGGGTCTGCAACTGCTGGAGGAAGTGGGTGAAGATCTCGGTTCTGCCGCTGCTGGATGAGAATGTGTCACTCGGATCTGCTTCTATGTACTTCCTAAATCCGTCTCTGATGGGAAAGGAGAGTACGGCACCCAGGTCCCCTAAGACCTGACCACTCGATCACAGAACCTGTCATGCCGTTATGAAAAGTCCTGTGTTGCCATACCGCTACCGTTCGTGCTGCTGAGAGATCAGCGCCTGTGGCGTGGCCGCGCCCGCGCTGGGTCCGGGCGCCGGCGGCCCGCGGCCTGCGCGGCCGACCCAGTGACCCTATCTAACCTGGGCGGGGGATGGGCCAGCTTGTCTGACTTGGCGCATGGTCTCCTGGAGCTGCGCGCCATTTGCGTGTCCGCTCGGCCACCCCAGACCATCGTCTGGATCGGCCCAGCTGGTACGCCGCCTGGAGTTTACTAGCGTATGGCATCTGACAGCGAATGCGTGCGACGGCAGCAGCGTGCCGGTCCGGTCACAGTCCAGCGCTACGACGCCAGCACTGGCCTGCTCAAGGCCCTCGTACCGGACAGCATGTCCTTGTGCAGGACCTCAACCAGTGGCGTGAGCAGAGTGGGGGGGGGGGGGGGGGGGGGGGGAAGGCACAAGGAGTACATTCCCCTTAGGTTCTGAGGGATCTTCAAGTCCCCCGAGGTCGACGATCGAACGTCCGATTCGAGGGCCCTAATGGCTGCCCAGAGGTCGTACTCAGCGGCAAAAGCCACGAGGTCCTAACGCCGGTCACGCTGCGGTCCACGGGCCCCGCCCGGAGGGCCGGATGCTCAAATGCTGCTCGGAGGGCCCTTTGCACTGATCGGGCCTCCCTGGGTCGACGAGGGCCTCTACGTCGGTCAGGCACCACCATTACCAAACAGTCGGCTCCGTATCGGCCTAGGCCTAAGGGTCCATTTCGCAAGCAGGGACAAGGACATGGCCAGCTGTTTGCATTGGTCGAGGCTCCTGAGCCAATAAGCTGTCATTGTGGTGATCAGGGGTTCACAGTGCCTAACGCGAGTCCTGTGCTGGCAAGGAGTCCCGAGCTGACCAGGGCAATGTTCGAGGGGACCTAAACAGACGCCCGTAAGGCCTCTCGAGACGTACAACACAAAATAGGGATTCTACCTTCACTTCTACAACTCTTCAACCAGATTCCGACACCGTATTGCGTTTCTGTCATTGTTTATCCGTTCCTGTTAACAGTCTTGCAACTGCCTAGATAAAACATACGCCCGGACTGTCAAATGCACGAATTAATGTCCTAAAGCGTAAAAGTCACTTCTTTCGGAAACGCCATTATTTTCGTCAATCCGTTGGCCGCTGCGTAATGCTAGCCGTGACGTAAACTCCGCCGGGCCTATGGAGACTGACGCCGGGGGCGGAGTTCCATGCGAACGTGCATAGTCAAACTATGCTATATCGCCCATTTTTTCACAACTGAATTTGCAGCGAGAGTCAGATATTCAAGACGGGCATGATTTGTCATATCAACGGAAATGTATGGCCCCCATTTTGCTCGACGATTTACGCTCATGGGCTCCGCAATATTTTTATATGCAACCCAGTGAAATTTCGGTAGAGCCCCTGAGTGACGTCTGATTTAAAAAAGTTCTACTTAATTATTATGAAATGTTTAAAGCCAGCGGTTTATTCCTGATGAAGTGGGACTTACCCAGCGGTTTTTGTTTGTTTTCGAAGGCGTTTCAACAGCAAGAGACCTTAGTCAATCGTAAGCTTTTCCCTACAGAGACTGGCTGTGCCCCTGACCCCAACACAGGCCTGTGCTGCCGATCAGGGGGGGGGGGGGGGAGGGGGAAAGTCGGCAAGCAGTGAGACTACCTGGTTGGCCTTCTCAGCGGTGCATTTGGTGGTGCAACTGCTGGTATCTCCGGCCCCTGTGATCACTCGAGATGGTCTCGCAAAGTGGTGGCTGCTGTCGAGACAACGGCGACAGGGGCTGCCTCGCCTCCGGTGGCGACAGTGACATCAGTGGCGGTGGAAGGCGTGACGGCGGCTGTGATGGCGCTGGATTTACATTTTGTGTGCATGCAGCGTGATATTATCTCATGGCGTCCTGCGCCCAAAACCTCAGCCGCCTATTCGGTGCCCGTTGGTGTCCAACAGCGACTCCCAATGACGTAGAGCAATGGATTGTGCAGCGTAGGCAAATCGCCTGTTGACTTAACCCGCATCTCGGGCCTTGGCCGCAGGTTCTTGGCGCATCCTGGCACAGTCGGCGCGGAGCAGGTGTGTGAGCCAAAAATGATAGAACCGAACACTTTAACGACCAAGGTTGGCAATCGAAAGTCCATTAGTCACGTGGTGTGATCAAACATTAAGATCGAGCTCAGATTGCTTCAATCCAAACATCTGGCTCGTTCAGCGGCACAGGCAGAGGGGGGAAGGGGGGAGCAGAATTCGTGTTCCCTCCTCAAAGGTTTCAAAGGACCAAAGTAACCCTCGGGACTAACGATTAAATGCCCGAGAAGCCCGAAGGACCGACCGGAGATTGTATTGAGGGTCACCAGCTCGCAGTGCCGGACACTTTAAAACCAGCGAGGGAGACCTTTGCGCCGATCAGGGTCCCTGAGTCGACAAGGGTCTTTACGTCGGTCGGACACACCAGTGCCGCCAGTCGGCTCCGTGCTGACATAGGCCTGAGAGCCCAATTTCCAAGCAGGGACACAGCCGGTACCAGCAAATTGCATTGGTTGGGACCCCAAGGGCTGTCAGGGGCCTAAAGTGCCCAACAGGTGACCTTGTGTTGGCATGGAACCTCAAGTCGGCCAGAGGCAGTGCTCTAGGAGGTCCGAAGAGAGCCTGAAGGCTCCAACGGTACCGACGATCAGGGGCCCGATTGAATGGCCTAAGGATACGAGGGATTGGTCGGAGTCTTGTTCAGGGTCCCCCGCCTGCAGGAACGGGCCCACGGATGCCAGTCAGAGGGCCTTTTGCGCCGATCGGAAACCCACTGAGTCGATAAGATCCAGGTCGGTCTGGTCAGGTCAGGTCAGGTCAGGTCATTTTCAGTCAGGCACCACTAGTACCACACAGTCGGCTCCGTGTCAGTAAGGGCTGAGGGCCCACTTTCCAAGCAGCGACAAAGCCGGGACCAGCGATTTACACTGATTGGGGCCCTAGTGTTTGTCAAGGATCTACAGTGCCTAACAGCGGTCCTGTGTCGGCAAGGATCCCGAGCCACCAGGAGCCCTGTTTGAGGGGCTGCAAGAGGGTCCCGAAGAGTCCCTCGGGACCAAAGATCAAGGGCCCGATTGAAACGCTGTACGGCCGGAAGGTCTGGCTGTAGGTCACGTTATGGACATCCACTTTTAGGGCCGTGATCTCAAATGTTAACAAGAGAGCTTCTTGCACCGATTCCAGATTCTAAGACAGTGTGTTCCTCTATTTCAGCTAGAGATCACCGGCACCGAACAGTCGCCTCCGTGTCGGTCAACGTGTGATTTTAATATAAAAACTTAGGCCGGCCAATAAGTGATTTTTATTTCCCAGCGACAGTCTTCCCACAATGACATCGTTGGCGCATGGTTGTATCCACGCGCCAGTAAATGTCTTGAGTAAGTATTTCTGCCGTGCCGCCGTATTCTGGCCATCACGTTGCGTGCAGGCCGGCTGCATTTAAGAATGCGCCGTCAAGCGGTGAATTGAACCACAAATGTCTTTTTACAAACGATCGATTAACATCGTCGGTGGAAAGTGTTCCCACAATGACATCTTGTGCGCATGGTTGCACCCTCTGCGACCATCCCACAAGCATTGTGTGCTTTGCTTTCGTGGGTTTGACGGCATGAAATTGACGTTATTAAATTGATTCCTTAGCAGAGAAGTGTGTTATATACACAGTCACACTCTTCACGCTAAATCACGCGTTTTTTCCGGATCGCCGTCCCAAAAACTGTCACGGC